CATTTTCAAGACCAGCACATGAGCAAAAGCCAGTACTCGGGCCCAAGCATTTGTCAAAGCTGGAGTGACCTGACTGGTTTGGCCTTGTATTTGACTTCCTCACCCCTGAAAGAAGCTCTGTCATTGTCCTATGACCCAAAATATTTGACTTGGTGGTACCTGGATTTGAACAGTAGCGGTGGGGACTCTGAATCCAGCATTGAGGGCAGGGCTCAATAAGGGCTGGACTCTGGGGACAGGATCACTGGATCACAGAATCACTGTAGTGGAAAGACACTGAGTGGATTGGAAGACACCGTACGGATGGGTGCTGGTCTTGCAACAGAAGTCAACTGGCTGAACGAGCCCCTCCCTTGCCCCCATTAGTGTAAATGTGCTTCTTGGTTCCTGAAATTCTTTGATGACTGCTAGCGTGGGCTTGGCGTGGCTCAGCAGCGATGCGGAAGGTCGGTGCGTGCAGTCAGGATGGCCGAGCGGTCCAAGGCGCTGCGTTCAGGTCGCAGTCTCCTCTGGAGGCGTGGGTTCGAATCCCACTTCTGACAGGCTGTGCTTTTCGCTGGCACCCTTGTCTGCCGCTGGACGTGGAGACAGACCTCTCATCAAGTACGTATGTATGTCAGGTCACGTAAGACGAAGAAAACACAGTGAGAGCGGTGTGACTGAGACTGATTGAAAGCAGTACAGTGCCTCTGGCACATGTTCCTGTGAGCAGCAGATGGAGGTGCTGTTCTGGCACAGAGCACAATCTTTGATGATTTCAATGGCCACTCTTTGTCAAGTTGCCATTCAAGGTTGCTTTTTTTTATTCTACCGTCTGTTTGGCATGCACATGGAAGTCCCTTCTGTGGCCTTTTGTGCGTGCAGCAGCAAGTGTACACGGCGACGGTGTGTGGAAATAGTCTTTGACAACTCTTTCAGGGAGCTCTCCAGTGGTTCCATGGTGTAATGGTGAGCACTCTGGACTCTGAATCCAGCGATCCGAGTTCAAATCTCGGTGGGACCTGCATTTAGAGTGTCTGGTACTAACTATACTCACGAGGCCCTCAAGACACGCGCCCGCCTCCACTGAGAGCCTTTCCAAGGTGGCCCAATCATCTGGCCCTCCTCAACGATCCCCCCTCGCATTAGCCTTTGATTCTCTTAGCACTGCCCTGGTTTTGAGTGCTCTTAGCATTCTGGCTAAAAGTCATCATGGAAATGTTAAACCTGTAGAGGTTAGCTGCCTGTAGAGTGGGCTGCACTCATGGGAATATAGCAAGAAGGGCCATGGTGGGGACGGGTTTTCAGCTGCACAGACCCATTCTGGAAACCATGGGCGAAGCAAAGCCTTTCACCACAAGCGTGACAGACAAGGAGCAACACAGCAGGAGACAACCAGACAAGGCTGTGGCACATGAGAGACTAGCGTCTCCTAAACTCCACACGAGGTCCCACCGAGATTTGAACTCGGATCACTGGATTCAAAGTCCAGAGTGCTGACCATTACACCATGGAACCGCCATGAAAGTGCAGCAGAACATGTTTCTTGATTGACCTCAGCGTACGTGCCACTGTGAAGGATACTCTTCTTTCACAGGACTAAGCTTAATTGCAGGCATCCAGGCACCAAGCACAGCCAGCTATTGCTACCTTGACAAACTAGAGAGGCAGTAATACTACAAGATCAATACATTTTCAAGACCAGCACATGAGCAAAAGCCAGTACTCGGGCCCAAGCATTTGTCAAAGCTGGAGTGACCTGACTGGTTTGGCCTTGTATTTGACTTCCTCACCCCTGAAAGAAGCTCTGTCATTGTCCTATGACCCAAAATATTTGACTTGGTGGTACCTGGATTTGAACAGTAGCGGTGGGGACTCTGAATCCAGCATTGAGGGCAGGGCTCAATAAGGGCTGGACTCTGGGGACAGGATCACTGGATCACAGAATCACTGTAGTGGAAAGACACTGAGTGGATTGGAAGACACCGTACAGATGGGTGCTGGTCTTGCAACAGAAGTCAACTGGCTGAACGAGCCCCTCCCTTGCCCCCATTAGTGTAAATGTGCTTCTTGGTTCCTGAAATTCTTTGATGACTGCTAGCGTGGGCTTGGCGTGGCTCAGCAGCGATGCGGAAGGTCGGTGCGTGCAGTCAGGATGGCCGAGCGGTCCAAGGCGCTGCGTTCAGGTCGCAGTCTCCTCTGGAGGCGTGGGTTCGAATCCCACTTCTGACAGGCTGTGCTTTTCGCTGGCACCCTTGTTTGCCGCTGGACGTGGAGACAGACCTCTCATCAAGTACGTATGTATGTCAGGTCACGTAAGACGAAGAAAACACAGTGAGAGCGGTGTGACTGAGACTGATTGAAAGCAGTACAGTGCCTCTGGCCTCCAGCCTCTGGCACATGTTCCTATGAGCAGCAGATGGAGGTGCTGTTCTGGCACAGAGCACAATCTTTGATGGTTTCAATGACCACTCTTTGTCAAGTCGCCAGTCAAGGTTGCTTTTTTTATTCTACCGTCTTTTTGGCACTGTTGAACTGTGTTGTTTTTATATTTTGAACTGTGTTGTTTTTATATTTTGATGCCTTCTCCAAATTTCCTCCAACCTTGATTTACCAATAAAAACCATAACATGTTACTGTTGCTCAACCATTGTTTTTATTGTCACAGTTTTTTTTTTTAACTAAAACAGCCAATAAAGATATTTATTCATACCAGTTTTGTTTTTCCTTTGAAACAATAAATAACACTTTTCAGGAATTTATTACAGAACATGAGAAAAATAACAAATTCTCAAAAACTTTTAATAAAGAAGAGTTTTATGTTTTATTTACAGAGACTGTCACAATACCAGACTTCAAGATTAAAATACAATACAATATTTATTCAACATGCTACTACAATTTATGATGTTAATTATCTTAATTATCTATGAATTTCTCCTTCTATCTATCATCATTCATGAACTTTTTTATCTATTACTATATTATGTATTTATCTTACCTATTTATTTGTTTTATCTTATTTTTCTATTAAAATTATTTATTCTTTAAGTGATTTATCTGTTAATCATTTATCTGTTACTTAATATACTATTTTAATTAAACTATTATTTATCTTCATTTAACTAGTGTATTTATTTATTCTAACTATTCCTATATTATTGCGTATTAATTATTCATGCATCTATTTTTCATTTATTTATCAGTTTAATTATGAATTTGTTTATCTATTACTATATTGTGTATTTATCTTCGTTATCTATTAATTTATTTGATCTTATTTTTCTATTAAAATAATTTATTATTTAAGTGATTTATCTGTTTGTCAATCATTTATCTGTTACTTAATATACTATTTTAATTAAACTATTATTTATCTTTATATAACTAGTGTATTTATTTATTTATTCTGACTATTCCTATATTATTGCTTAATAATATAGGAATAGTCAGGGGACTCCCTGTCACACCACATTGAGAGCGAGCATGAGCGAGAGAGCGAGCATGAGCGAGAGAGCGAGCGAGTCCCTACTCCTGGAAAAGAACGAAGCGCTTCACGAGGCAAACAAAACAATCACCAAACTCAAACTCCATATTCAAAAACTCTCCAATGAGCTCAAGACAAAATCCACTCTCCTCACAACCTGCATTGATGTGGCCCACCAGCAATCCCTCCACCTATTCTCCCTCCAAACAACCCTCCAGGACACGCTACCCTGGGAGCCTCAAAGCCCGTCCACCACGTCCCAACCGCCATCCACCGCTGCACCCAACCAGGACTCAACATGGACTGAAATAACCACACGCGGCAGGAAAATCACCAACACCACCCCCTGGAACCCGGCCGGGCCTACCTCAAGCTCCACTCCAAGCCGCTTCGAGGCTCCTGAGAATCCTCCTGAGCCTGCAAACACCAGCATGGACCAGTCCCTTCTCCGCGGTGACGTGGTGGCGTCCTCTACAGCGGCTGCCGGAGCTCCCATGGCTCCTACACGGCCACCCGGCGGAGCCCCCGAGCCTTCGTCCACGTCCTCCGGTGCCCTCGCGGCGTGCCGGCTCGAGGACCGGGTAGCCTCCGCTCTTGTGGCGACCAGCTCCCGGGCGTCACCGGGCACTGGCGCTAAGAACACCTCCCTGCCGGCGTACAGTGGGATTCCCGTGTGGCCTGGCACTGGCGGAGGGGACCTTTCTCCGTCGGTCCCTGGTCGCGCGCGGTGTCCCGGAACCCGCCTTGACCACCAATCGGAGAGCCGGCCCGTGTCCTCGGCCGCCCGCAGGAGGTTTCTCTGGGAAGCAGTCCGACGGAGCTCCGCCGGGCCCGCTTCAGCTGCCCCCGGACCGAAATGGCAGACCGGCCCCGCAGCCGCTGGCATCCACCGCACCGCTGAGTCCCCGTACCCCGGCCACCAGCCCTGCTTCGGACACAGGAGCCATGCACCCCCCGCCGCTGTTTCCCCCCACCACCTTGATCATCGGTGACAGCATCAATTGATGTGTGTTTTTATTGCTTAACTCTGTACAGCGTCTTTGTGTTTTTGAAAAGCGCTTTACAAATAAAATGTATTATTATTATTATTATTAATTATTTATGCATCTATTTATTCATTTATTTATCAGATTAACTGTTTATACAGATAGAAATTACATATTTATTAGAATATTTATAACATTAAAACTTAGGTGTGCAATACTTTCAGTGATAGTCTGTTTTTCCAGATATGAGTCACAGGACTATTTTCGGGCCTTCTTCATTTCTTCCAACCACTGCTCTTTTGAGAGGGATTCAGAGAGAGGACAATACAATTTGCCATAATACAGGCTGTGTCCAGTGTCAGCAGTACGGAACTGACCACACTTTTTACAAGTGTTTGCCTCCACTGTCCTCTTGTACAACCTCTTGCGTGGGGCTTCTTGTGTGCTGGCAGATGCACTTGTTTGTTGGCCAGTACCCTGGAAAACTAGCAGTGGAACAAGTGAAGACCTTTCTGCTCGCGGGCACCCCTAGCAGCTGCCTACTCCACCTAATGACAGGAGCGCCACTGATCACACACCATGTCTTCATCAAGACCCATTTCAACCTCAGAGGATGAAGTTGAGGGCAGACTGAAGGAAGAAGAGGCAGATGCAGATGGGCGGGCAGCTGGTGAGGCACAGTAAGTAAAAACAACCATCATTTTTGCACATATAGCAACTGCAGTGTGCTGCAAATATTGAGGAGATTATCATGATTGCACCAAAGTAAACTTTTCACTGCACCACATTACTGCAGTTTTGGTAAGGAGTATTAAGGATTATGTTTTCAGCCTTACTAGGAGCTGTGGTTGATGCTCCAGGAGCATGAATGGTGCCAGGAGTCCGGCCCAAGGACCTGCTGCGACCTTGCGCAGAAGAGCTGCTGGGAGCTCTCTGGGAGGAGGTGCCAGGAGCTGCCCTGGAGGAGGTGCTGGGAGCTGCAATGGAGGAGATGCTGAGAGCTGCCACGGAGGAAGTGCTGGGAGCTGCCATGGAGGAGGTGCTTGGAGCTGCAATGGAGGAGGTGCTGGGAGCCATGGCAGCTGTAGTAATGCCCAGAGCTCCGGCCTCCAGGTTCAGCACTGTGGGGTCCTCTGCAAGCTCAGCAAAGCCCTCATCCTCTGCATTATCATCAACATCATGCTCCTCGATCAGCTGAGCAGTCTCCTCTGAGTCATGGTGCATATCCTGCAGTACCTGACCGGTCTGTCTAAAGAGGTACTGCAGCCCTTTGAGCTCTCCTGAAATGATAAAAGGTGGATCTTTAAAAAAGTTGTTCATGATGTAGCGATTTGAATTGAAAATAAATGTCCTGAAATAATAGAATTAAATTAGGACATTCATGCTCTTGTTGAAGGGGCACCACCCACCTTTTCCTGGTGGGAAAAAGACTAAGTTCAACTGAGTAATCAAACGTTGAATTAGTCTTAAATAGATTTAAACCAATCTGACATCTGAGGCGGTTATTCTCTTTATTCTGCACCTAAAGAGAGTCACAGGAAACACAGTCACTCTGAAGGCTTATGGCTGTGGTCTGTTTCACAGATGAACACTTTTGAGTTGATTTCTCATGATCTTCTAAAGTACCTTTAAGGTTAAGGTGTCAAAATTTGAGAGTCTCCAGCCAAAAGCAGAAGGGTGAATGTTTATCCAGTCCAGGGGTCCTGCTGGAGATTAGCAACTTTGTCTCTTTGAAATGCAAAAGATTGACTGTCTATCTTTTGGGAGATCACCTCTTGGTTAGTTCCCACAGACAGGAGGTTGTAAAAAGACCATGGTTTGGTGTGGAAATTCACCCCTTATCTACTGTCAGTGACCAGAGTCACTGCATTCCTTTGAGGGTGAATTAACAGGCATGAAAATGGGTCCGAGGTTGAAAAGGTGAGAAGGGTGCGGAGGAACACTGTACAACCCAACAAAATATTGAGCTTTGGAGGCGCCAAAAACACTCCAAGTCTCTCTCTCTCTCTCTCTCTCACACACACACACACACACACACACACACACACACACACACACACACACACACACACACACACACCACATCACATGCATCTTGTACTGGCCATGTTTTATTTAGAAACAAAGTTTACTTTCACAGAAGCTAAATGAGTTAGATGAGGTAGAGAGAGGTGTTCAAAACTGTTTGAACAAGGCCATATAAACAATAATAATTAAAAAAGAAAAAAAAAAACAGAATAAAAACAAAATAAAGACATTACATCCTGCACTTTAGATCAGTGTATGCCCTGCCAGACTGGAGAACAATACATGCAATTCCAATAGATCCAATACCAAGTCCAATTGATCACTTTTTCTTTTTTCTTTTTGCCTGGCCCGCCAGAGTCTCCATGGCCCACGCTGAGTGGCCACATGCCTCAGCCTTGCCTGCTGAGCACTCCCAGTTTCTTGACATCCATATTTTCTGTGCTGCAGCTGTCTCTCTGTTGCTTTTGCCTTCAGTTTCTGTTTGTATTTGGCTGCTGCATTATTTATATTTTGGCACATGATTCTGTCCACCTCCCAAAATTTCACGTCGCTCCGCTGGAACATCTGCATGGCCGTCTGCCCTTTGGACCGCAGGGTATACTTCACCGTCCTGATGGCGTTGAAGGTCTCCACGTTCATGTTGCCACTATGCTGGTCAATGACCTCGTTCATCAGGCTGAAGGAGGATTCCACTCTTGGTCCGTGGAAGATAGAAAAGCCACATTTGGCCAATGCACTGAGGACGGGGTACTTACCAGGCTTGTCAAAGACATGACCCCACCACTCCACTATCCCATCTCCCTCCTTGTACCTGGGGAGGATCTGATCAACACTGAATTGAACCAGTTCCCTTGGAAGATCCTGGTCTTCTAGCAAGAGGTGACTCAGCATAGCACTCAGCCTGCCAAGAAATAGATATGAGCTTAAAATCAAGGACAGGAGTAAGCAAAATCCCAAAGCAAAAAAGTATTTTTTTATCTTACCTCTTTAACTGACTGATTGCCTGTGAGTGACCTTGCAGGAGAGGGTCCAGTGCAGAGAGGGCTATTAGAGTTGGACTGTCCAGGGGGAGTTTCTTTTGGACTGCAGTGGTGATGTAAGCTTTTCTGACGCTAGCTAGGAATGGCACCAACAACTGACAGAAAAACCAACAAAGAACATTATTTTAAGAAAGGTTAGGTGAAAAGAATAACTGTTCTTGACCAAGGCACTCCATGAAGTCAAAAATTATTGATATTGAAATGTCCAAAAAGGGCTTTAAAATTGTCCACGCAAAAAGTTATTTTCACCTAACCTTGGATAACATAACCTTGGACCAAAGAGAACTCAGCCAAAAGTTTTTTGTTTATTCTCTGAAGGGACTGAGTATGCCTCTGACTTGGAACAAATGTAGCATTATTTAAGTCTCAAAAACAATTTAGAAAGTCATGCAGGTGATGCACGGTGCTTACAGCATGTTTGGGATTCTGGCTCCTGAACATGTCAGCCTCCTGTCCCACATATACTTCCTTTTAGGGCAGCAGCATGTGATCCTCCAGGACCAGCTCTCTTAGAGCCCTAGGAGATAGATGTATATGGGAATTATTTAATGGAAGTAATAATTTTTAAAAAAGGTTGCTTAACAAAAAAATGAAACATTCAACAGATGGCATGGGAAACCAAAGTATAATAAGAATAAAACCAATTAACTAAGCTAGGCAGAGAAAGCCTAAGGCAGAGAAATTACCTAAGTAATTTGTTCTGCCTTCACAAAGCAAGCCAAGTAGGCCAGGAAAAGCTTGAACTGTCGATCATGAAGCTTATGGACCAATGTCTGGCTGCCCTGTGCATGGAAACAAATTCTTAGGAAATGGACCAATTTAACATTGAATGTGCATACAGTTGCAGTAAAGATGTAATATTTCCAAGCACAACTAGCACAGACCTGGAAAACCATGACGTAGTCTTTTAATATAGCCAGCACACCCATGTAGAGGCTCAGCTGTAGAACCATTGTCGTCTCCTCATGCCACAATTTCTGACAAATGCTCTTCTTCCTTTCACGGCCTTGAGGAGTCACGCCTGTGAAAGACAAATGTAAGTGAACAACAAAAGACATAATCCTCCTGATCCGTATACTCGGAATGCTGGCATCATGGCATGGGTTGCCATGCTAGTGTCATAGGCAGAGAGCCAGTGATGATTAACAAAGCCCCTCTGTGGGCTGGAGGCGGGGAGATTTAATATCATAGCTACCTTCTTTAGGTACATCACCTGACACAAGATAGAAAACGAAATGACACACACACGCACACACACACACACACACACACACACACACACACACACACACACACACACACACATACATAATGCAGTACAGTCAGGTCTGCAGCCATGGTCTAGACTTTCCAAAGCCACAATGTTTAAATGTTTCATGTTTCACCAAGACAGATTGCTCACCTGTGACATTTAGGCTGGGTGGCCCATCAGCGAGATTAAACAACTTTAACATGCAATACAGACTTTCACCAGCAGGTGTCATAATACCAAAATACAAATCCAAACACAAATCACCATAATACCAAAAATGGCTCATACATTGACATTGGTGGAATGTAAGAGGATGGTGAAGTACTAACGTGTCAAATGTGCTTGCATTTTATTTACCTGGTCCGGACTCCACTGGTGGTCAACCTGGAGGTCACTGAATAGCCTCTCCAAATACCCATCAAAGGCCTCGGAAAATTTCTTTGCGGCGTTGTGTATGTGGTGACAGGAGTCTCCGTCAACATCCAGCAGGTTTGGACAATGTTGGTGAATCCTGGGGCCTCATGTATCAATACTTGTGTGGGACTCATACCAGAAACGAGCGCACCCAAGGTCCGTCACGCTGAAAAAAATCTGTATCAATGTGTGCGGGCGCCGAAATCCACGTGTGTTTCCTTGATAAATCCCAATCAGCTTGGAATTGAGCAAAGATGTCGGAGTGACTGGGCTCGCCCCCGTTATGCCCTCCTATAAATATGCAGATTTATTTAAATAGGGTCTCCCTGTCCTCGCACGCAGACAAAATGACAAGAAAAACGAAATTTACGCCCTGCAAGGTGGAGGTGCTGGTGGCGGAGGTGGAGGAGCGACAGCGTGTTTGGCAGCCTGTCCAGTGGCGTCAGTGCAAAACGAAAATGCTTGGAGTGGGAGAAAGTTTGCGAGAGGGTGAACGCGGTGGGTTCCGAGACACTCACCCCCGCGGAGATTAAAAAAAAGTGGTCAGACCTCAAGGTGGCGGTCAAGCGGCGTACAGCTGCCCTCCGGAGGAGTACCGGCCAGACAGGTGGGGTCCGAGGGAGGAGACCCTCACGCCGTTTGAGCAGCGGGTGGTGGCGATTATTATTATAGGGAGGGTGGCGTGTCACACAAATGTCCACATGCTTTGCCATCCCACTGAGCAAAAGACGTATATTAGACGTCTAGTCTAAGTTTATACTTCATTTCGACGTTGGGATTCAGTCTGTTTTTAAACGTGATTTATACTTCGCCCTTAACTTCATTTTTCGATAACTTTTTATGCAATAAACAACTGTAATGTGCATAACTGACCTCTAAATACTGGATTACATTACCTATGATACCGTGGAGAGAGATGTAAACGCAACAGATACACAGAAGCAGGAATTGAAATGAACTAATATTTTTATTGTGTCACAGAAATCAATGTGTCGGCCGTGTCACGGGTTGCGGAACCCCGGCCCGCGGCAGCCCGTCCGCCGGCTCGGAGTCGTCGGCCAGGACCAGCGGCATTCGGGCCACCCCGGCCCCAGCACCAGCACCAGCACCAGCATCAGCACCAGCGCGCTGACAAGCGGTGGAGCGTCCACCAGCCGCGGCGCTTCGGCTGGGCCACCCGGACGCAGTGGAAGGGCCCTCACAGAGGCGGTCCTGCAATCGCAGGAAGAAATCATCAGGGGGATCGCGGGGATCAACGAGCGGCTGGACCGGCTCGTAAATGCTCGTAAATAATAATAATAATAATTATTATTATTGTTATTATTATTAAGTTAATTGAATAAACAAAGTGATGGTGTACTGTGTCTTTGCTGCCTGTGCTATCTAACAGACCTACACCTACCTCTGCATTTGCAATGCAGCTTACTACAGGGACTGGCATCTTTCCCGGGAACTGCTGCCTTATAGTCTCTGCTTATAGTTAGTTGGCTCTGGCTTGCCTGGCTCTGGCTTGCCTGACTCTGGCTTGCTGATGCTGGGAGGAAAGTGCTGGCAACACTGTGTGTGGACGCAATGACTTCCATCTTCTTCTTATGTATCTCAGTTTGGACGTGAGCAATCAAAGCATGGCTGCCCTTGTTTGTATAATTTATGTCCTTGTGGCACAGGACACACCTGGCCAATCCCTGTCTGTCAATTTTCTTAAAGAAATCCCCAACTTGAAAGGGCATCTCTTGTCCCTTCACAGATACCTTGCCTTCCAGCTTAAGCCAGGCCCACTTCCAGCTGCATTTATTCCCTGCATCCAGCTTTTTAAAAGCTCTCTTTACTGTGTTCACACCAGATACTACTAAAGCTGTAACGGCCAGAAGTAACTGACTTAGAATGGTGACAAAAGCTACAGCAGAGACTAAAAATAATAGCAACATAGCGATTTACACAACTAGTGGAACGGGAATATGAGATAATAGTGTAAATGGTGATACAAGCATGAAATTTGGTACAGAGATCCTTTATACCACTACTAATCATAATATAACCTCTGGCCACCTGGGCGGCGCCATTTTTCAAGATGGCCACCAGCTTTTAGAAATAGCTGCCACCAGGTCAACGTTTTAGACTCTATCACTCTGCTGCAGCTATAAATCTTACATTTATAGCTGCACTACCAGGGCATGAGGGTATGTGTAAGTTTTATAGCTGCAGCAAAGTGATACAGTCCAAAACGTCTACCTGGTGACAGCCATTTCTAAAAGCTCACGGGCATCATAAAAAATGGCGCCGCCCAGGTGGCCAGAGGTTATATTATGATTAGTAGTGGTATAAAGGATATCTGTACCAAATTTCATGCTTGTATCACCATTTGCACTATCGCATCAAAAACCAGCACATTCCCGCTAGACTATCACTTGTATAAAAGCTCGATACAAAACTTTACCTCTGACAGAAAACAACTGAGTCTGGTAGCTCCATCAGAGAGGAAGAGACGAAGAGAGAAAAGGAAGAGCAGAGGAGAGGATGAACAAAGGAAAAGGAGAGATCCGGGCAAGAGGGAGCCAATCTAAGATTATCTTGTCCTGGGCCCACGCAAGATGGGCCCAGCTGTCCTGTATAACATATACGATGTTACGACATGTATATTTGTGTAGTCTTAACTGTCATAAAGAACAGATTATGGATTACAGAGCGGGTTTGTGTTGCAGTGCACAGAGAAGAAACCTGGGACACCAGTGCAGCAGCTGAGCACTACACTGATGTGTACCCTTTTTTTACATTAAATTATTACATACCATCAACAGCAAATGAACGATCTTCATCTTGTCTGCATCCATCTTCCTCATCACAACCCAAAACGCTTTCTGCAGGAGACATGACAAGCTTATACACATGGTCAGACAAAAAGAACAGATGATAAATTAAATAAACTGACAATCAAATATACCATTTGGATCGATTGTGATTTCGTCTAGGTTCTTTCCATGGAACTCAGCCAATCTCCCACTCTCAAGAGCGAGAAGAACTTTACTGATCTTTGCCAGCTGCAGTGTCTTGTCTGGGAGTCTATAGAACTCACGATGGATCCTGATGTCATGGCCAAGAAAGTTAGCTAGTTGATCCATGTCCGTGTTGGTCATGTTCAGCACTGTTGACAGAGTTGCTGCTTGTTTTCACAGTTTGGTTGATGATAATGCTTTGGGACACTTTGCACCACATGCCTTGGCAAAGCCAGGGATGCAGTCTGAGCCACGAAGATGTGACAAAGCTGCAGGTCTTGCAAACAAATACATATTGTCCTGAAGAACCCTGCAGGCCTCTCTTTGCTGAACAAGGAGTTGCAAAGCATGGAGCATTTTCGGGGTCAGGAGAATTGGAACCGGTCTACCTCGCTTTCCTCTGGTGACGATTCTGGAGAAATGTCTGCAGAGCTTTTTCTCTACTTCTGACAGCGCCCAGTCCAAATCCTCATGGTGATCAGATGTGTCCCTAGATAAAAAAGCTGACAGAGGCATGCTTGCCACCTCTCCTTCTCTGCGTCTGTTAAAGAGGATGATCTGTGTTAAACACACTTTTGCCAGGTCCGTCTAGGCCTTTGTAGACGGACTTTCGGACAGCGTGATGCTGCATTCTTTTTGTATGTCACTGAGAAACTGGTGCATTTTTTGCACATCCTTAGTAGAGTGGGTGCATTCCACTTTGCTTCAACAATATTTCTGAGTGCTGTAGCAGAAACCATTGCATTCCATTTCTCATTGTGCACTTCTAGGAACTCAGATGCATGCTTTACCAGCTCTTGGTTGTTGGAAATAAGTCATTGAGCTTTCAAGAGCTTGCTCACTTTTACCAAGGCATTTCCAAGTTTTGTTGCCAGAGATGGAATGGTAAATGTGTTGGTCCTGCTCTCGTAGCCGCAAGTACTTTTGACAGCATTGACCACCTCCAGATAATTCGCAAGATTAATTAAATCCTCCATCTTTTTTAATGGGGTATGTTTCCTGGCATTGTCCAGCAGTCGTCCCAGTTCACACATTTTTTCACGGATGCACTGCTGACTTTTTAATGTCATCCCACATTTGTTGAGAAAGTGCTCCCCATATTCAATAATGACATGGTCATTCTTTATTATTTCAGTTACAGGATCCAGATTCATGGAACTGATGACTGTCCACAGCTGCCTGCTGATATGTGAGGGCACAGGCCCGGTGTATACACATAGGGCCTGAACGCGGATCTTGCCAGGTTTTGTGTTGGCTGGTCCAGTCTTGAGTTTACAAATTCACATATGTCTCCACCGAACATTTCATGTGAAAAGTCCTTGGCAGTATGCACAGTGCATGAAATCACTTCCTTGTGCTTCTTTTGATGGCCGTTTACATGGGACAAGTTTTCCTTTTCCTGACTCATTATGGGCATAGTTGCCTTCGTTCCGGATATATTCTAGTAGTCTTTTCCTCTCTTTTGACCCTTTGGGAAAGCTGAAAGCTCTTCCTACATCCACCTTATCTTGGTGTGCATGCTCCAGATGTCTTGCCATTTTGGCATATGGCTTCTTGCAATACAGACAGTACTGTCTCTTATCGTAGATTCTCTTACCATGTTTATTTTGGTGAGCACTTACTACTAGGCTGTCATTGGTGTCCCAACTTGAGCAGGGTTCTTCGTTTACAGTGAGGTCAGAGCAGGGTTCTTCCTCTAGACCAGGGGTGTCAAACTCAAATACATAGTGGGCCAAAATTTAAAATTGAACAAAGCCACGGGCCAAGGTTGAACAAATGAACCTTTTAATATGGAACCAAACAAGTTTTGCTTTAACATTGAATATTGAACAAGCAAGGCTTATATAACTTAAAAGTGCAGACGTGCAAAATCGAGTTTCAAATAACAATAATAATAACAAAACATATCAATGGCATATTAAATAAAAATTGAATGCCTCTTTTCTGTTTGCAGCCTTCTGAGGTAAATATCAAAATTAGCTTTTTACACAGGCTAATAAATTTGAAAATAAAATAACAACAATGAATAAATCAACCATTCAGGCATTGAGTAGCAAGAAAAAGTGCATAGAAAACGTAATTTACTGCTCAGTTTGTGACACACTGATCTGATCTGATGCGCCCAAGCCAGATACCTGGCATCTTTTCTTGGATGCCAGTTCATCAATGTCGGGGCTCAGGCTTTGAGCAGAGGAAACCCTCATTATCGAACGAAGGTGTTCATCAGTCAGACGTCTCTTGTGAGACATTTTCGTCATCTTCATTGAGGAGAAAAGTTGCTCACATAGATAAGCGCTGCCAAACATGGAGAGCAATTGAGCAGCTTGGGTGCTGAGCTGAGGCATTGTGTCAGGGATGAACTGTGGAAAGTGTGCAGCCCCAACAGCATCAAACTTTGACTTCAGCGTGTCATCACACTGGAGTTCAATCAGCTCCATTTGGAGATTGGTTGGTGCTTTTTCCACATCAACTGCGAAGGGATTACTAAGCAGTTCAAATCTACATTTCTGGACATAAAAGTCGCCAAATCGTCGGCTAAACTCAGCGCCAAGTACACTGAGTTTTCAGCAAACTGTGCGCACACGGCGGTAGAGATCTGCGTTTTTATGGTTTGGCAGCAGGGGAAATGGCCAAGGTTTACTTGCATCTGATTCTCCCACAGGCACAGCTTAGTTTTAAAAGCTCTCACTGACGCATACATATCTGTGATGATGCGTCCCCGCCCCTGCAGCTGCAGGTTCAGCGCATTGAGATGGTTTGAGATGTCACACAGAAAGGCCAGCTCACACAGAAACTTTTGCTCCCGGAGCTCTGCTGTGTCCTTCCCTTTGCTTTGCAAAAACTGATATATTTCTTCACGCAGCTCGAAAAATCTGTTCAGCACTTTTCCGCGGCTTAACCATCTCTCCTCTGTGTGATATGGCACATCTGTGTATTCCGAATCACACTCGTCCATAAAAGACTTTAACTGGTGGTGATTCAGACCTTTGGCTCTTATAAAGTTAACAACTTGTGTTACTGTGATCATTACATGTTCCATCTTTAGGGCTTTACCACACAGTGATTCTTGATGTATGATGTAGTGATAAACAGATAGTTCACCTGCACAGTTCTATTCTCGCATCTTTTCACGAATCCTGCCCACCAGTCCATTCTTTTTACCACTCATCGCTGGTGCATCATCAGTGGTTAATCCCACAAGTTTATTCCACGGCAGGATTATTTCAGTTACACATTTCCAAACTTCCTCAAAGATTTCCTTCCCTGTGGTTGTGCCATGCATGGATTTAAATCCCAAAAGCTCCTCCGTAACACACAGATTTGACACGCCATGGATGAAGACTGACAGCTGCGCAGTATCAGACGCGTCAGTGCTCTTGTCCACAGCAAGCGAAAAAGAAACAAAATCTTTTCCCTTTACCATAAACTGGTCATGCAGATTGGTGGCAAGCTATTGTGTTTCTGCTCAGGCTTGCGTTTGCAAAGGCTTGCTTTTTCTCTGGGCACACTTGGTCACAAACTTTCATCATGCACTTTTTTACAAACTCTCCCTCATTAAAGGGTCTGGCTGATTTGGCAATTTCTTCTGCCACGATATAACTTGCCTTTATAGCAGCCTCATTTTGTGCTGTGGCTTTTTTGAACATTTTCTGTTGTGAAACCAAACCTCTTTTCATCTCCTTTACTTTCTGGCTCCTTTGAGTCGTGTCCAGGTCCTTGTACTGGTCCTGGTGTTTCGTTTCATAGTGTCGCCTAATATTGTACTCCTTAGTTACTGACACGTTGGCTCCAAAAACAAGACAAACAGGTCTGTCTTTTACATACGTAAACAGATATTCTGCCTCCCACCTGTCCAGAAAAGTTCTGTTTTCTGCATTTCTTTTCGCCATTTTTGGTAAGGTAACACAGTGACAGTTGTAGTTTGAGGTCGCAGTGTGGTCTGGGATAGGGGCACGGGGAGGCGAGGCTTTCAGCCGAAGCTGTGCGCAAGAAGACAGATCGCTACTGATACAGAGGAGCATGTCTGCCCCCTGTCCTGATTGACACGCCAAAACAACAGCAGAGCATTATGGGATTTGTAGTATAAGCGGTGAATGCGGTGTTACAGCGCCGCCACCGTATAATACCGGTGGGTCAGCTCTAATATTAATTTGAAATTGCCTTGCGGGTCAAATATAATTACACTGCGGGCCAAATTTGCCCCGCAGGCCAGAGTTTGACACCTATGCTCTAGACTGAGTTCAGATACAACAGGATTGATGTCAAGTCCAGGTGTTGTGGTGTCACATTCATTGGGCATGTCTGATGCAAGGTTTAGCAAAGGAAAAAGACATGGGCGTTTTCTTGGGGTGATATCAATGGTAGCATCACTGTCCTCAGAGTCTGTGCTGGAATCTGGAACATACTCGTCTTCATCATCTCCACTGTCTAACGTGCTATCATAGAGTTCTGTGTCTTCAAGACATGTGTCTTTCATCAAAGAGATTTTTTTGAATGATAAAAATTTAAAAAAGGTAACTTAGACATATTTTTTGTAAACCAAACAATCATATCAAATCATATATTTTATGACAATATGTGGAACATTGATACAATGTTAATTGCAGCATTTAAGAATTTACGATAATGCTCTTTGTCCGTCTTAGTCTCGGTAAAACATTTTCACTTTGATTACAGAAGTCATGATGAGGCTGAAAGAAATTAGAAAAAGAAATAAAGCAATAAGTAAAAAAAAGACTATAATGTAGAGTTATAAAAAACAAAACAATTCCATGGTTGCAAAAAAATAGCACATCAAAAACTCTCCGGTGGAGTCTGCTACATTTAGGATTTATATAAAAAAGTGGGACAGACAAAATTTCTAGAGAAGTGGAAGTTGAAGAGGGAAAAACAGGTCTCAATTCTCATTGTCAAATTGGAGGTATGTAATTCGGATAGATAATATGTGATTGTAATATCCTAAACATGAGGGTTAGTAAGGTCAATTCACATAGCACATAGCAAAGAAATCTCAAAATGTTACTGTAATATTTCAGACTAATAGGTCACCCTGTGTGTTTCAGTCACACATCTTCAATACAACAAGCTTAACGGGAACATTTAACATACCATGTTATCATTCTTTATGGGGACAAAGCATCTGTGGTTAAAAATGAACACTAATAGTAATATGAAAAGTGCACTGTGGGGACATTGTAAATGTATAATACCAATGTGATATTTGGCCCCAGGGAAACAATCCACAAAGGTTCACATCCATCTTTAATGTCCTGTCATCTTTTGCCACATTGAGGCATTGGACTTAGCTGTTAGTAAACATAAATGACAACACATTGCCCTCACAAGGAGCTCATTTGCTGTATTAAGTTACAAAAGATTTTGTTACTGTGTAAAGGACCAGTTTAAACACTACAAGAGCTGAGCATTTTCTTTCCTAGTCATGTTGGAGTAAACAGGCCCTTAATCATATGAAGGGGAGCCTTACTGTTCCACTGCCTTTATGATATTAGGATGATTAGTTTAACCTATTTCTTTATGTTTTCACTGACCCAACATTGCCTCTTTGTACCCAAACAAGGAGCTTAAAAAGTTTTGGGCCAAAACAGTATATCAGTGTTTTCTTTTTGATGTATAAGGAACACAGAGGTCTCTCTGGTGAAAGACAAACAGAAAACATGATTAAAAAAGAGCCCCCTGACCTTAGTGGGTTCAAAAAAGACCTTCAACCAGCTGCTCCGTGGAGTGGTGGGCAGTTACATTATAAACTCAATGGTTATTTTATTCGACATAATTTAATCTTTAAGAGAACATTTTTGTCACACTGTTGAACTAGTTGTGGAATATTATCACACTGCTGATAATATAGTAAGCAAACAATGAACAAATATGCCTTAATTCAGCTTTATCTGGAAAAAAAAATCCATTTATAAGCTTTTGCCTCTTCACTTTTTCCACATCAGTCTCTGACATGAGTGAAATAGCTGCAAAATAATCCGGGGCATCACAACAGTCTTTCTACTGCACTGTGTCAGTCTGGAGCTACATTGAACCTTAATAAATTTCCTCAAATAATTCTCTTTTATCACTCTGATCTCTGTCTCTTTTTAATTTCCTCAAGGGAACCCCCAAAAGGATAAATAAAGTTGTACTTAAAGTAATCTAATCTAATCTAATTTACTGCCAATCCACTAAATTGACATCCTAACTCCAATCTAGCACTAGAACCACCAACATTCCAGTCCCCCTAGAACTGGCAAGGGGGGTCATTTTAAGCCCTAGCTCCAATAGGGTGTACCAAAATCTGAATAAGGGGTGTCAACATTTGCCACCACCATTTTGGCAGGAAGGAACTATCGGCGTCAATAGAGAGACATGTAAACAGCGATTCTTTTGTGTTCGTTTTTGCTATAAGTTATTAATCTACAATGGTGGATATTTGCTGTGTTCACAAGTGCTATAACAGGAGAGCACGTTGAGGGAAAGTTTTGGAAAAAATACGTTTTTTCTGCTTTCTAACATGGAAGAGAAAACACGGAGTGCAAATGGAAGCGCTAACAAAGAGACGTTGCATGGTTTGAATCTCTGCCCTAAGTCGCGAAGAAATAACCTTCAACAACATACCCAAGCACAGCTGTGTTTGTTCATGCAATTTTCACAGAGCTAAGTTAATACCAAATATATGAAACTGTTACTTTGTCTCTGCAAACTAAAAATAGCTGGGTACTAATGTTAACGGGACTGTCTATGTTCCCTAGGACCCTGTGTTCCCCAGTTACGATGTTCCCCACTTCTCCCACAAACTACCCTTAACCCTAACCTTTACCCCTTAACCACAACCATAACCAGTGCTTAATTTGTGCCGGAGCAAGCCGGAGCGCGCTCCGGGACCTCTTTGATTGGATCCAGGAGCTATTTTAGCCGCTCCCGCACCTGTTTGATCTGCTCCAGGACCTTCCCTGTCAATAAATGAACTGTGTTTTTATCTATGTTTTCTCTGTGTTTTATTTCTCTCTGAGGTGACGCCTGTTGGCTTATTTCTTATGCATTTTACTCAGAAATTAGGTAAAACAGGGGGGAAAAGTGATTTATGCCATCATGTGTCACAACGCAATGCGCATTGGGATGGTTTTATTTCTGCACCACGCGCAAATAGGTAAATGTTATACTGGGTAGGTGCGGAAATTAGGGTAAAAAAGACAATAAAAACGCGTTAAAAACCAGAGAAAAAAAATCATATTTTTACGAGGCGCGCGCACTCCAGAGGGGGACCCGGCACCTCTTGGAGGACAAATTAAGCACTGACCATAACCCTAAACCTAACCCTATCCCTATCCCTCACCCTAACCTTAGTGGGCAACATAGAACCTGGGGAACATATGGAGGCCCCCATGTCAACAAGCTTTTTTTTCACATATGTTTGATACAACAATCTTGGCCATTGAGGTTTTGATTGGTTTATTTATTGTATGCTTTATTAACAACATGCATAGCGAAGCTACATAACTATTTATTTGATTATTTGTAGTCTTAAACTTACTAGGGACAGTGCACATCTGAGCTTAACTTAGCCAGAAGCGATTTATCATCTGTACTGTAGTCCCTGACAGGGGTCTTGGTCATGCTGGATGTGGTGGACATTTTTGCCAACATTTTAACTGATAAAGTTCTAGCCCTAAATGACTGTTACAGGTCTGTATCTCTTGATAGTGTACTGTAACTATACACTCTCAGAGTTATGTGGTCCTTGAAAATGAAACATTTGAGACCTACTTTCCTAGTGGACTACTAATATGCCATACACAGTGTCATACATATTCTGTAGAAATCCTGGAGACTGACATTCAGTTACTGTGTTTTGTGATCTTATTTCGAACATTAAAATATTGCGTAAATACTTATTCTTTAACTTGTCATAGACAAGGCCAAGCTCTGCCATGGATAAATTTGTCCATCCCTGCTCAGGGTCCATATGCAGGCTATTAATAAAAGTGTTTATAGTGTTGATAAAATATTCCATCCAAAAATCATCTTTAAAAAAACAATATAAGAGAAATAGACACAGTACAGGAGACCGAAAAATTACAGTATTACTAATTACTAATGAGCTATGTTTTTGTTTTTTCCATCTGGAGAACCAGTCAACGAAATGGATGAGTGTGATCCTGACTGGGCACTATACTTATATCTGGGGCCCACAGAGGTGAAGGCCTCATCGAGTGACCTTGGCCAGCTTGAACGCAGAAGTAGGAGACAGCAAGCGGCTGAGCTACTGAGCAACGCTGACCCTTCAACAACACCAGATGTGAAGGTGGAGGAGGTGGATGATGCAGCCCAGCCCACAGATGAAGGTTTACAGGGGCAGCATGTGGATGCTGCTTCTCTACCAGGTGTTGTGGCCCCACTGCGTGCTGAAATCAATTGCTTGTTGGAGGAGAACAAGTCACTGAAGGAAACACTCTCTCAAATGCAGATGGACAACACTGGAGAACAGCAGGAATGCAGTTTTTGTAGTAGTCAGCGTGATGAAATTAACCGCTTGTTGGAGGACAACAGGAAACTGACAGAAAAGCTCTCTAAATGTTGCATGAATTACAAGTTCTTGGAAAACAATGACAAGAAGGTTAATGACTACACTGGGCTTCCAAGCTATGAATTGTTGTCAGCTGTGTTGACTCACATGCTTACTCTGCTACTACAGAAAGGCCACAAAATGTGTCCTTTTCAGATGCTCCTTCTTACCCTCATGCGCCTCACGCTGAATCTTCCAAGACAGCACCTTGCACACATATTTGGCATAAGCATGTCAACAGTGTCCACCGTATTCTTAAACACCATATCTGCCCTTTACACAAAGCCCGGTGCCTTTGTGAACTGGCCGGAGAGAGATGCGTTGGTCCTCACTATGCCTCATCAATTTGTGGAGGCATTTGGTAAGAAGGTAGCAGTGATTATTAACTGCTTTGAGATTTTGATAGAGAGGCCATCCAACCACAAAGCTAAAGCAGAGACATTCTCCAACTACAAACACTCTAACACCATGAAATACCTCATTGGCATTACACCAAACGGAGCCATCTCTTTCATTTCCAAAGGGTGGGAAGGACGCACCACTGACAAGACAGTGACTGAGCAATGTGGCATTATTGATAAACTGCTGCCTGGGGAGTTGGTGTTGGCTGATCATGGATTTGACATTACAGAAAGTGTAGGTTTTGTGTGTACTGAAGTAAAAACAGCTGCATTCAGGGGAAAACACAGTCAGCTGAAAGCTCGTGATGTGGAAAAAATAAAAATAAAGACATCATTGTATACTCTGGGAATTTAAAGTGCAAAACTATTGGTGTTAAAATGTAATTTAAGTTCAAAATATTTAGCAGAATTTTACATTTTCAAATGTATAAAAATCTTTAGAAAGATCTCCAAGCTGTTAAAATAACATATCGTCCAGAGTGCTATACAATTTTTCAACCACTAGATGTCAAAATCAAATGTGCAGTATTGTATTATATATTATTTTATTATTTGTGGAGCCTACCTACTGGTTCATTCCTGGCATGGCAATTATCAAAGGACATCCTGGCAGTGGAATCAACTACACTTCTGCAGCGACCAAAAAGAAGATATTTGACGGGAGAACTCGGGAAACATACGTGTGCTCTGTTTTTGCTTCCCACAGAATATATCTCATCCTACTCATTAAAGTACTGTAATATGGAAATACTCCTGTTAAGTGCCATAAAATTGTACTTAAGTAAAGGAGTAATTAACTTTACATTAGGTTGATCTTACAAGAATAAACATTCCTGAATCTTTAAACAGTGTCATTCATACTGAATTTATCTGTCATATGAAATGATATTACACTCCGGTGCACTACAAAGACATTTATAATGAGATTAACCACGTTGCGGTGCTTGTCTCTTTTGCAAGCTTGTGTGCTCGGGTGTAATGACATGCCACAAGCTCAGAAAGACAGACCTTGAGAAAAAACTGCTGTGCCTTAGAAAGAAGTCCATTCCAGAACTCACCATCAGGATAGATCTGAGCTTTGTTGACAAAAGCCTCCCTTGCATCACCCTCATGGTTTATCCCCCATGCTATGGGGCAATTTGTGTCATCTTCTCTGGCTCTCTTTAATTCAGACCTTCTGGGTTTGCACACACAATTGACAGTTGTTATGGCTAGTTTGTCAACACTGGTGGCCGCAACAAAATGGATGTTGGAAGCGGTTATTCTCCCTGCTCTAACATTGAACCAGTATTTGGATAGATGTTGCTCTCTGGTCTCCTCTTCCACTGCAGCCGGCTGTGTTGTTGTTACTGCTGCCTTTTCTTTGAGGCCCTCACAGTGCTGGTGCAGGACACAAAGTTCACATCCAACCTTTCCTGGATCATACAGCTCCTTCAGTTACTTTAGCACTACACAGGGTTTGACAGGGTCTGCGTAATGATGGTAGTGCCCGGAATTGTTGACAAAGAAATTGACTTCTTCCTTGGCATGACTGGGAGTAAACCTGTGTCTGTAGCTTTGGATGAGATGGATTCTATGGGGAGCAACATCAGAGCATGAGTACATTTCCTGAGTTCTGTCTCACCACTGGCGGCCTTGTTGAACATCTTCTTTTTGGTCGCTGCAGAAGTGTAGTCGATTCGACTGCCAGGCTGTCCTTTGATAACTGGCAAGCTAGGAATCAACCAGTAGGCTGGCTCCTTAGTTACTGTCTTCTTGTGTTGTAGCTTCACAATGTATTCGATCTTAAATAGGAGAGCTGCGACATGTGAACAGCTTTCTCTTAACCCTTCCTGGACCTTTAAATAGACTTCCCTCTAAAGCAGGCATGTCAAACATACGGCCCGCGGGCCGGACCCGGCCCGTTGGATGATTTAATCCGGCTCGGCATAAATTTCTGAGTATGTCAAAAAAAGAAGCGAGTCTCTAGCTCATTTCTATCAATAGTTATGATTTTTTAAAATAAATACAAACCAAATGCTCCCTCCGGCCGCGGGAGGGCAGTAAATGTGTAAAAGAGCTCACGTCCAGCATGCAGCAATCTTGCTTCACAATTCACCACTACTAAACAAGTTATCATTCAACACACCCTTCCCAAAATGGCACTGTCAAAAAAAAGAAAAGTGGACACGGAGTGCAGAGTTTTCAATGAAAAATGGACTGAGAATTATTTATTCACAGAAGTGAATGCAAAACCAGTGTGCTTGGTATGTAATCAGCAAGTTGCAGTGTTCAAAGAGTTTAATATTCGGCGCCACTATGAGACTCATCATAAAGATAAGTATGACCAATTGAAAGGACAAATAAGGAAAGACGAGATAAACAAATTGGTGGCTGGTCTGAAGAAACAGCAGTCTACTTTTACGCGCAGTCACGATATCGCTGATGGGGCTGTAAGAACCAGCTACATTATTGCCAACGAGCTGGTGCAGGCATCCAAGCCATTTTCTGATGGGGAGTTTGTAAAAACATGCATGCTGAAGGCTGCAGAAGTCGTGTGCCCTGAAAAGCGACCTGCCTTTGCCAATATTAGTCTAACGAGGAACACTGTCGCAGATCGGGTGACAGAACTCTCAAGTGACTTGACAGGCCAATTGAAAGAGAAAATCAAGTCATTTATCACATTTTCAATTGCAATAGATAAGAGCACCGATGTCACAGATATTGCTCAACTGGCCATATTCATTAGAGGTGTTGATGAAACTTTGACCATCACCGAGGAGCTGCTTGAATTGGTGCCCATGAATAACACCACAACAGCTGATGACATTTTCAGCGCTCTCGTTGGAGCGCTGGACAAGGTGGGAGCGGACTGGTCCCGTGCCGTGAGCCTGGCTACCGACGGTGCGCCATCAATGGTCGGGAGAAAGGCAGGAGTTGCCACAAAATTCCATGACAAAGTACAGACCGCAAATGGAGGACAAGAGTTTCGGGCATTTCACTGCATTTTGCATCAGGAGGCGTTGTGTTGCAAAACACTGCAAATGGACCATGTTATGAGTGTGGTTGTGAAAACTGTCAATTTCATCAGAGCGCGCGGTCTAAATCACCGTCAGTTTGACACATTTCTCAGTGATAATGACATTCATGCTGGCCTACCATACCACACTGACGTGTGGTGGTTAAGCAGAGGTGCAGTACTCAAGCGCTTCTTTGAGCTACGAGGGGAAATCGGACAGTTCATGGAGAAGAAGGGACGCCCAGTAAAGGAAATTAAATGCAAGGAATGGGTGCAGGATCTTGCGTTTATGGTTGATATTACACAACACTTGAATACACTTAACACTACATTGCAGGGCCGTAACAGCGTTGTCACTCAATATTACGACAGCATAAGTGCGTTCAAGATGAAACTGTCACTGTGGGAGACGCAGCTATCCAACGGTGACACCGCGCATTTCTCTTGTCTCACAGCTGTGCGTCCGGAGGCACCGGACCGTCCCGATAATGATTTGGAAAAATATAAAGACAACATAACAGATTTGCTGCGAGAGTTTGAGCAGAGGTTTCAGGTATTCAGTGAACTTGAGAACAAATTTGGCTTTTTTCGTTCGCCATTTACAGTGAAGCCTTCTGATATGCCAGCTGACATTCAACTCGAGCTTATTGACTTGCAGTGCGATTCCGCTATGAAGGATAAATTTGGGTCCGTGGGATTGGATACGTTTTATCAATATCTCATGCCAGGTTACCCCAAATTAACAGCCATGGCTGCAAAGGTTCTATCCATGTTTGGGACTACTTATCTTTGTGAACAGGGGTTCTCCGTAATGAACAATAATAAAACAAAGCAGTGCTCAAGGTTAACAAATAAACACTTGAATGACATTGTTAAATGTGCTGCTACTCAGGATCTGACACCTAATATCGATACACTTGTGAAGGCAAAAAGATCCCAAGTTTCAGGAGCCAGCAGCAGCAAGTAGACTGCAGGAGTGCAGTGAGAGAGAGAAAAAGTGTGATGACACAAAATTTGTTTGCACTCTTGAATACAGATCATTAAAAATACGATTAATCTGGTTTCATATTAAAGACAATTAATATTGTGCAGTATATTCTCAGCTTCAGTAGGCCCAGCCTAGCAGTTTGATCTGATCTTTGATCTGGTCTAATCTTATTGCCCATGCACTGCTGTAACTTTTATTTTGTATTTCTTTTATTTATTTCAAAGCAGTATGACAATTAAGGCGAAAATATTTTTTTCATAGCTCTCACTTGAGTGTGTTTAGTGTGGTGAGTTGGTTCAGGTGTAAAACTGCATTCACTTAACTGTTAAAATAAACCAGTTGTTAACACATTCACCGCCTAACATGAAATCATTTTTTTTCCATTATTTGTGAATAAATGTGTTGTGCTTAGAAATGATCCCTTGTTATCCGTGATCATAATATGTAGGGTAGGCTACAAATGTAGGCTGAATGATAAAGCATAGTATTGAAAAACAAAGCTTAATATTTGGAGTTGGCATTCTTTTACTGATCCGGCCCACCTGAGAACAGAAAGTCTGGATCCGGCCCCAGACCCAAACTGAGTTTGACATGCCTGCTCTAAAGCCCCTCGTGGCTGAAAAAAGCCACTACTTTGACTGCTGTAAAATCATATTGGATTAATATTTTTTTCAGATTTTTTTTCACACATCTCTTATTTTACTTCTGCCCTGATAAATGCTCAAGTGAAAATATATATTTTTAACCCTTTAAGTGCAAATTTAAGACATAAAGTCACTAATATAGCAAAAAAGGAAGGAAAATGGCCTATTTTTATTATAAAACATTATCAGAAACTGGTAATCTCTTGCAGGGCAACAAAGTCTTGAATATGTCAGAGTTTAGTAATATCATTGACTTTGATGCCTTTTAGGTTTTTCTGTAGCATCAGATTTAATGAAAATCCCTCGTGGCTGAAAAAAGCCACTAAATTTGACTGCTGTAAAATCATATTGGATAATTTTTTTTTTCAGATTTTTTTTCATACATCTCTTATTTTACTTCTACCCTGTTCAAAACTAGCAAATGTTTCATTAAAAATAAGTTTTTTTCTAACCCTTTTAGTGCCAATTTAAGACATAAAGTCACAAATATAGCAAAAAATGGAAGGAAAATGACCTATTTTTTCATAAAACATAATCTGAAGCTGTGGAGGATTAGAAACATCAGAATGTTTGGTACATTTTTGTGTAACATCAGATTTTCATAAAAACTGCATTGATGAAGTGATTCTATAAATGCATTCTCTTTCACTAACAGCAGGTGGTAGTCATGTGCGAGACATTCTCTCATAAACAAAAACAGACAATATAAGATTGGAACACAACCATATTTTATTGCTCAAAATGCATTAACAAAAGTAGCAAGTGGTGTGTGTGTGTGTGTGTGTGTGTGTGTGTGTGTGTGTGTGCGTGTGACCACTGTAACATTCGATCACAACAATATTTCTGCTCAAAATGTAATGAACTAAAAACAAGACCAAAGTTGCAAAAACTCAATGCTGGAAGGATTAAGCAGAACAACAGCTACCTTTTTGCTGTGAGGATAAGGAGGAGATGAGTTCATTTTTGGATGCAGGACTGGCAGGAGATTGCTCGGTGTTCTTGCCAAATCGGATGCCCGCAGCTCACACAAGTGTTGAAGGTTCTGTTTTTGCACATCTTGCATGTTCTCCTCTTCTCTGCAGGGAGGTTGGGGGGTAGCTCTTCCTCTCTGTGCTCTGACTGGAAAGCGGCAGAGCCATGTGCAGTAGACTGCATCTCTTTCACAAGTGCAGAGGATTGAGGTATACGAGGCAGGGTTTGTCTCCTCATTATCACAGGGGACGTCAAAGCAGTTGCCAGGGCCTGAAGGAACAGCCTCCTCCGGACTCGCTTTCCCTCGTTCCAGGAGGGATCCACATGGGTGAAGATGATGTAAGCATTGTTAGCTGAAATGTCCAGCATGTTGAAAAATAAAGTCAGTGGCCACCGCCTGCTTCTCCTCTGGCAGCTGAAGTTGTGGACGAGCTGTAAAGATAAAATAAGAAATAAATCACAAAAGAGTTCTGAATGATTCTTTGTACTAAAGCCTCACATGACGGTGAAAATAATCATGAAAATATTATCAGACCACAAAATACATCTTCTAAATTCATCTCTTACAACTAATTGAAAAAAAAAAAAAAAGAAACATACCTGGTCCAGAGTATCTACAGCCCCCTTGCAGTGATTGTAGTCCGTGATCATTTTGGGTTTCTTCTTTGGGCCCTCTTCCACTGCTGGCTGTCTGTGCTTCGTGCTTATGAGGAGCACATTCTTCCCCTTCTTGGGCATGTAGCTGACCGCTGTCGTGTTGCTGGTGAACGCAAAGACTGAGGAGAGGACATCTCGGCGTTTTACATCCAGGAGTTGGGGTGGGAGCTCAGGTTTGTTTTTTCTGATTGTCCCAACCAAGGTGACTTTTTTCTTCAGCAGCTCCTGGCCGAGTTGGTAAGAAGTGAAGAAGTTATCACAGGTCACCGTGATCCCAGTCATGTCCTCCAGCAACTCCAAAACAACCCGTCTCGCTTGGTCCACCTCTCTCGCTTCTCCACTCTTACCCGTGTAAATGGAGACCTTCCAAGCATAAGACGTGGAGACATCTGCAGCCGTCCAGATCTTTATGCCATATTTTGCTGGTTTCTTAGGCATATATTGCTTGAAGCTGCATCTCCCTTTAAAAGGAACCAGTTGCTCATCGATAGTGACTTCTGAGCCGGGATTAAACAGAAGAGGGAGGCGCTGTCTCCACATATCCCACAGAGATCTGATGGGGGCCAGTTTGTCGTTCTTGAATCGGGCCCGGCGTTCCATCTTGTCATCAAACCTCATCACACGCAATATCTGGTGGAACCTCTTTCATCAAATGGCCTTTTTCGGCCACAGGGACTCGGAAGGGCTAGACCAGCCACACATGTGCAGTGGGCAATGATCATGTTGCCATTATTTTTGAGGATCACCCATGGGTCAGGCGTCTTTGCCATAGACTGTATATAGAATGAACAGAGTCTGCCTCCTTGCTGGGTGAAGCCACTCCGAGAACAGCACCCTCTGATGGTGGGCTGCAGTACAGGTCATAAATCCCGCCTCCGCCAGCAAAGCTAATGGAGCTGTGGACAAACTTTCGAAATTTATTACACAGAACATAAATTTTTCTCCCCCCTGCTTGTGATGTTGACATGTAGTTATTGTAAGACTGGTTTGTGCCCAAGTCCTTTTTTTTCTGTACAGCTTCGTTTTTAAAAGTTATTAGGGGTTCATGTTTTCTGTGATTGACACCTGGTACAGCCTATGGGCGTTCAGGGATTGCGTAGCTCACCCAGGGGGATACGCTGTTTGAGCCGAGTATCATTACAGGGACTCTCGGCGACTGCGCGGCCGAATGCGCGTATCGCTACTGCGCAGCTCTAGTTTCAAGGAAGTGGAGAAAAACCCAGAATTACCGAGAGCTTTTTGGCTTTAAATCCGTATACAGGCGGAAGGCGGAACCAGGTTGTCCATAGTATATACAGTCTATGGTCTTTGCCCTTAAGCCAACACTTTGAGAGTGTTTAACCTGATGTATATGAGAGAGAACAATATAAATATGCATAGGTGTTATGACTGGGGTCATAATTGGTTGAGTGTCTGCTGGGTGTGTGTGCTCTGTGTTTTCTCTGTGTCAATCTTGTATGCAAATAGGTGTGTGCCACAGCAGTCATTGGTCATTGTTGTAACATTCGATCACAACAATATTTCTGCTCAAAATGTAATGAACTAAAAACAAGACCAAAGTCATCGGTCATTGGTGGGATGGACTACGCCCTGTATGGTGATTGGCCGAGACCAGCTATATCAAGAACCAAGATGGCAGCCACCATGTGCAGAGGCCAGGCGTTCCTCATCCTCCTCCTCTCCCAACCGGCCACCCTATTTTGCAGCTTAAAGACTATGGTGTATTGTGTTCTGTTTTCCTTCAGTAGTAGGGGTGGACTGCCAGTTTTGTTAACATTATTTTCTCCTGTATATTTTAGTTAGGGAGGTAAGTCTTTGTCATTTGTTTCCTTTGTTTTGGTTAGGTTAGCATTACTCTACAGACAGGATCGTTTTGGTTGTTGTTTTGGCCTTGGTCCACCCTGAAGTCTAGTCATCCAGCCTTAGTTCCTTTGTCTATCTTTTGTTATTTCCTGAATTATGTAAATAAATCTGTGTTTTAAAATTGAGCGGAAATCTCGGTTGTTGTGGCTACTTGGGACTTGGGGATGATGAGGCCTTCTCATGTTGTGCCCTAGGCACCCCTAGACTGGGGCGTAACATGAATTGGGGGCTCGTCCGTCTTCTTGTCGCGTTTTCTTCGGTGAGTATGTATTTTTCTGGTTGGTAGTTTTTTTTGTGTGTGGGGGGAATTATGGATTTTTCACTGGATGATTTTATGGCCAGTCCCTCTGTTGCTAAAATTGAAAAGTGTAAAAAAGCAGACCTGTTGATTGTGGCAAATTACTTTAATGTACAAGTACCATACAATGTCAACAAAGCAGAGCTCAAACAGTTGCTGTGTGCACAGTTGGTGGAGCAGGGCGTCTTACCTAAACCAGCGCTTGATGCGGTTGCTGCGGGTGATGTGGCTAGTGTCGCACCGGGGGCTGAGGTGAAAGCGGCGGGGGCTGCTGGCACGCTCGCTGCTGGTGCGGAACTTGGGCCGGTCACGGATCCTCTCATGGGTACCATGACCACAGAGGATCTCCGCATAGCACTCCAAATAAAGGAGGCAGAGACCCGAAACAAACAGCTAGAGGTACAAGCAAAGGAGGCCGAGACCCGAAACAAACAGCTAGAGGTGCAAGCCTTGCATCTACGCTTAAGGGTTCTCGAGCTGGAAAAAGGAGCCTTTGCAGCCTCTACCCCAGTGCCTCCTGTTGACCGCAGCTCTGTTTCTGCTCCCGCTTTTGACATAAGTAAGCACATTGCTTTAGTCCCTCCGTTTCGTGAGTCCGAGGTGGACTCGTATTTTAGCGCTTTCGAGCGGATAGCTGCTGCCCTGAGTTGGCCTAAAGAGTTCTGGTCCCTTCTCCTCCAGTGTAAATTAGTGGGGAAAGCTCAAGAAGTCTGTGCCAGTCTGTCTATCGAGGATAGTCTTGATTATAAAATCTTGAAAAAGACTGTGTTGCAGGCCTACGAGCTGGTCCCTGAAGCCTATCGGCAAAAATTTAGAAATAGTGAGAAAACTTCCAACCAGACCTATGTTGAATTTGTGCGTGACAAGAGCGTTCTGTTTGATAAATGGTGCCACGCGTGTAATATTAAAACTATGGCGGAAATGAGAGAGCTCATTTTGCTCGAGGAATTTAAAAAGTGTTTGCCGGAGCGAATTGTCGTATATTTGAATGAGCAAAAGGAGTCATCGGTAACGAAAGCAGCTGTGCTCGCCGATGAGTTCATTTTGACTCATAAAAGCGCTTTTTCTTTGCCAACCCCTCGTGTTTTACATCCAATGTCTGAGCGCAGAAACCGATCGCCAAAGCTGATGCGTAAAAGCACCTCACCAGCTGCGGGTGAGAGCCGCGAGTGTTTTTATTGCCACGAGCCAGGCCATTTGATCGCTGCATGTCCGACTCTTAGAAAAAAAGGACAACACAAAAACGGTAAACCTCCTGCAGGTGTGGGTTTCATTAACACCGTGTCCCCGCCTGTAACACTCCCGGAGTCTTTACCTGAAGCCGAGGTAAATGTGGAGGTTGACCCTCGTTTCAAACCGTTTGTTTCACAAGGATTTGTTTCTGTAACTGGCGAGGAAGCGGATAAAGTACCGGTAACTATTCTCCGAGATACAGCCGCCTATCATTCATTCATTCTGGCTAGTGTTCTGCCACTCTCAAATGAAACTTCATGTTTCTCTGATTTGTTAGTGTGGGGAATTAAAATGAGCGAACTTAACGCCCCACTTCACATGATTCATTTGCATTCACCGCTCGCGTCGGGGCGTGTGAAAGTTGCCGTGCTCCCACGGTTTCCGATTAGTGGCATTTCGTTTATTTTGGGTAACGATCTGGCCGGAGGAAATGTGTTTCCTCTGCCAGAGGTCGTTAACGATCCCATTTCGGTTACGTCTGCCTGCTGCCCCACCTCTGTTTCTTCTGCTGTGTCTGTGCCAAATGTGTTTCCTGTGTGCGCAGTTACGCGCGCACAGGCTCGTAAATGGGGTAAAGCTGGGGATTTATGTAATTCGTTTATGGCTACGTTAGATGAGGGTGAGCCCTCCTTTTCAGTGTCCCCCGCTACTGAGTGTGAAAATGTATCAAAATGTGTCTCTGAGCCTGATGTGTTTCCTGCTGACGCAGACTTGAGTTTAAACGTGACCCGAGAGATGTTGATAAATGCTCAGAGAAATGATCCGTCTCTACATTTGTGTCTGTCCTCTGTTGTAGCCGCCGAGGACGACAGCCAGACTTGTGTGTTTTTCTTGGACAACGGTGTCTTGATGAGACGGTGGAGTCCCGACTCCAGGGAGATACCCGTTGTTAATCAGGTGGTTGTGCCGACAGACTATCGGGCGCAAATTTTGAGTCTAGCACATGACTCCAGCTTAGCTGGCCACCTCGGTGTTAAAAAGACATATCATCGTGTGTTGCGCAATTTTTTTTGGCCTGGGTTAAAATCCATAATGCGCAAATACTGCCTCGAGTCCAACAGAGAGTGGGATGAGGGCTTCGTTCTTCTGTTATTTGCCGTGCGTGAAACTCCTCACAGAAAATGTGATAGCAGACGCTTTGTTGCGGTGTTCCTCAAATCCGTAGGTATTAAACATTTAGGGGGATGTTTAATTCTTGGGTGTGGGGGTGTTATGACTGGGGTCATAATTGGTTGAGTGTCTGCTGGGTGTGTGTGCTCTGTGTTTTCTCTGTGTCAATCTTGTATGCAAATAGGTGTGTGCCACAGCAACGCGGTCATTGGTGGGATGGACTACGCCCTGTATGGTGATTGGCCGAGACCAGCTATATCAAGAACCAAGATGGCAGCCACCATGTGCAGAGGCCAGGCGTTCCTCATCCTCCTCCTCTCCCAACCGGCCACCCTATTTTGCAGCTTAAAGACTATGGTGTATTGTGTTCTGTTTTCCTTCAGTAGTAGGGGTGGACTGCCAGTTTTGTTAACATTATTTTCTCCTGTATATTTTAGTTAGGGAGGTAAGTCTTTGTCATTTGTTTCCTTTGTTTTGGTTAGGTTAGCATTACTCTACAGACAGGATCGTTTTGGTTGTTGTTTTGGCCTTGGTCCACCCTGAAGTCTAGTCATCCAGCCTTAGTTCCTTTGTCTATCTTTTGTTATTTCCTGAATTATGTAAATAAATCTGTGTTTTAAAATTGAGCGGAAATCTCGGTTGTTGTGGCTACTTGGGACTTGGGGATGATGAGGCCTTCTCATGTTGTGCCCTAGGCACCCCTAGACTGGGGCGTAACAATAGGAGTGGTATGGTAATGGCAACAGAAAGTAGTCTGACAGTCAAAAAATAACAATTCTGTGCGGTGCTGTGTTCAAGAATGAAGAAACACACATGATAACTAACATGTCTGTTAGAATAAAGCAGTGCTTCTCAAATAGTGGGGCGCGCCCCCCACTATTTGCCATACCTGGGGGGGCGCGTGTGACCCTGGGGAACAGGCTTTTTTTTTGGCAGTACTAGAATAAAGTGTAATTGCGCATCCACTACAGTAGGCGGCAGTGGCGCTCTCATTGTTACTTCTGTCACGTTTGCGACAGTGCAACATTTTACGACTTACAAGACAACAGGTTTGCCTTGGTTAGCAGTGTTGAGTCAACAGAAAGCTCCGACTGCGTCCTGTCTATAGCCTCCGTTATTCAACATAACAACCCCCAACATGAAAAAGTTTTTAACAGGGATGAAAAGAAAAGCGGAGAGAGACAAAGATAATGAGACAAAAGAAAGTCAGCCGAAAGCTAAGACGAGGAAATACGACGAAGCGTATTTAGCGCTTGGCTTCACTGTGAGTACAGTTGGAGAAGAGGAAAGACCGGTGTGTCTGCTGTGTCTAAAAATGCTCGCAGCGGACAGCATGAAGCCAAATAAATTGGCGCGTCACTTAAATACGTTACACACCAATCACGCCGATAAGTCGCTAGAGTTTTTTCAGCGAAAACGTGCTGAATATGGCCAACAGTCATCCCGCTTTGTGAAGGCTACTTCAGTAAACCATCGAGCGCTGTTAGCATCATATAAGGTGGTGTACCAAATCGCGCAGTGCAAAAAGCCCCACACCATAGCAGAGGAGCTGATACTGCCTGCAGCATTAGACATGGTCTCTGTCATGCTGGATGACGCCAGTGCAGCAAGGATTTATTTATTTTTAATTTCAGGCATTGATGCACTTAAAATCTTTTCTGTTGCAGACTTAAAACACAATTTGATTTATTCTTTGTGAGTTTGACCATATGTCTTTCTTTTTTTCTTTAATGTTAATAAGGATGAAATGTTATGCAGAGATGGATAGTCACGGTGGGGAGTGGGGGGCGCGAATAGTTTTCTTCTTGCTAGGGGGGGGCGTAACAGAAAATAATTGAGAAGCACTGGAATAAAGTATAAACTTTCATGGTTATAGGAATAATTAATTAATAATACATAATGATTTGTTCAGGTGTGTGTGTGTGTGTGTGTGTGTGTGTGTGTGTGTGTGTGTGTGTGTGTCCATTAATAATACATGATAATTTTTTCAGTGGGTGTGTGTGTGTGTGTGTGTGTGTGTGTGTGTGTGTGTGTGTGTGTAAGAGAGAGATAAAGGCAGACGTGTTTGTGTGTGATCACCTACCATGGTGCGAACAACGGTTTTGTTGTTGACACTGTGCATCTGCAGTGTATGTACCCACCCAGATGTAAAAAAAAATGTGGGCCAAGAGAAACTTTACATAATGGAAGGAATTAAATGAATAGTAGCTTGTTCCTTGGATAAGGTACTGCATGAAATGCACCTGGTTAAGTGGTGGTTGCATCTCAAAATCATCTTCTGACCATACAGTGTTTTCATATGGGTTGAGTCCATCAATGTCCACAATTTCGCTTAGGTAACGCTCTCTTTCCTCATTGTTCAGCTTGTTCCTGTACAGTATGTTGAGTCCAAGTTTTGCTCTCTCCATTCCGTTGTCCTTTTACGGTGTAATAACTAATAAATAGCTGTTTTTTAAAACCTACCGTCACACGCCCAGGAATTTCACTCGACAGCCATAAAAAATACATCAAAATGGAGGTATATGTGTCCTGCTTCTCACAAAAGAGGTTTTAAATCATTAAATCAAACCTCTTGGCCAGAAGGTGACCAACTGTCCAAAAAGGCAGAGATTCCTCCTATTGACCCTAATGTAATTTTTCTCCCAGAAAATCCTAAACATCACTCAGGCTCAGACCTGTTTAACTCGCTGTTGTGGCCACATTTTTTAGAGTACAGACATGAAAAACACATCATTGTGTTCATGAGGGGCGGATGATTCATATGATGTTCTTATTTTCATTCTGGGATTTAAGGAAATCACGCTATGTGAAGAAGTTCAGAGGCCCTAAATTCACTGCAGTTAGGCAGCTTCTCATTCAAACAGTATGTCAGTTAATGCCTTTGATGTCTGACACCTGTTAAGATGCATTAATTAACAGGCATACACACACACGCACACACACACACACACACACACACACACACACACACACACTCTGACAATGTGTGTGCGTTAGCCTCTCTCTGTCTATGAGACCTACAGGTACACACAATAATATGTGTCTGCTTCACCACCTATCTCCACCCAGAAACTTGGAGCTACAGAAACCATTCTGGGGTTGAAAATTTCACCTTATTGAGGACACTTTGGGGTGTTTTAAGGAATGTGATAATAAATTATATTAATGTGTTTAGCAGACCCTTGTGGTTCTCACAAGCTCCTTATCATGAATATATACAGAGGTTGACCATCAGGGCCTAATTGGAGATCTATTTCCTCAGCTTCAAGCCTCTTCTCTCCTGCTGCAGTGACACATCTTCCTTCGCCATGGTAACCAATTAGTGCACCTGGAGACACACAGCTGACTGGAAAGCTGCTTCTAACGGCCATATGAGACACATGAAGCCAGGCTAAGTACACAGAGCACTGAATGTTACATTTAAAACCCTTTACCAGAGCACCTGACAAACTCCGGCCCCTATCTCCTCCCACAAACTTTGAGCTACAGAAACCATTCTGGGCTTGAAAAATTCAGCTCATTTAGGACATTATGGGGTGTATTTAGGATTTTGTTAATTAATTGTATCAATATATTCAGCAGAGTCTTGGGGTTCTCACAAGTTTCTTATCATGAATGTAGCCCTTACAGAGAATGAGCATCAGGGCATAGTTTTGGATTTTGTTTCTCAGCTTCAAGCCTTCTTTTTCCTGCTGTAGTGATGAATCTACCATCCCCATGGCATCCAATTAGTGCACCTGGAGACACACAGCTGACTGGAAAGCTGCTTCTAATAGTCATATGAGACACATGAAGCCAGGCTTAGCACACAGAGCACTGGGGGTTACATTTAAAACCCTTCACCAGAGCACTTTACAAACTTTAGCCGCTATCTCCTCCCACAAACTTTGACCTACAGAAACCATTCAGGGCTCCTAAAATGTATTCAGGATTTTTATTCATTTAAATTTTCCCTACTTTAAATGGAATCCCATTATTAATACATTATTCAGTTCTTTAGACAAATTAAACTCATTCAAACTGATTCAAACCTTTCTCATATTTCAACCTTGTCTAATACTTTTTTTAGGATTTTTAATTATTTAATTTTTTTTCCCATTTTAAAATCATTCTCATTATTTATGCATTATTTAATTCTTCAAACAGATTCCCAGATTTACTACTACAATTACTACTATCACTTCTACTTGTATATTCACTTCTGCCTCCGCTACTCTTGCTTCTCAATATTTTTTTACTGCGTCTCTTACTTTCACTGCCACTATTACTTCTACCACGACCTCTACTGCTTTGACTTCTACTTCTTCTATTCTAAAACTACTTCTACTGCTTACATGACTACTAATATCACTACTACAACTACCTATTATCCTACTACTTCTAGTACTAAAACTTTAACTTATGCCACTTCTCACTTGTCTGTGTTTTAAGGTCATTTTCTACCTTATCCAATTTTTTTTGCAATTTCAGACAGTTTTTCTCACCTCTTTCACCATGGATGCAATTTTAATTTATGAAGCACATTCATACTGTTTGGACTTCAACAGTTTTCACTTTCATACAACTTCAACTTCTTCTTCACCCCTTTTACTAATTTTACATTTAAACCTTCCTCTATTCTTTATTAGCAGTTTTGCATTGCTTATTCAGCTTTCAGCACTCAGCATTTCCACACATTTTCTGCAAGGAAATGCAATTTTCTAGTTAAACTCTGACCTCTCTAGATCTGTTCAAAGTTTGTCTGACATTTTGAAGCAGACTGAGCGCTAAGAGCTTCTTGAAGAGAATAAAAGTAAGTTGTAAGTCTGTGACAGCTTCCCTCTTGTATAGAATTTGCACTACAAATGACAACCATGACAACCATTCAAAGAAGAAACAATGTCATTGATAGAAACAGTGAAGAGTGTGGGGCGCAGGAAGATTTCATTATTACGCACCAAGTATATGGACTCTCCAAAGTCTTTACAATTTCATGCTGAGAAACTTCATTCTGGGATTTCAGAGCTATTTCTTCACAGGCTAAATCTCAATCTCCTCCCTAAACCCAAAGTCCTGAAAGACTTAATTGATGCCTCCTGAAAAGTGATTGAGAGCATGAGGCAGGAAATGATAAAAGAAGAACTGTTCTCTGCAGTGGTACAAAAAACAATTACATGTTATGCTTTCAGCACCTTTCTCCATCATTTTGACACCATAGCAACACATGGTCAAAGAAATAGGAAGGAAGGGGAAAGTTTTAAGAATATTAAGTTTTTAACCTGCATGAATAATTCTGAAAAAGTTAAAAAAATAAAGAAATAAAATCCAAATAATTTGTCTCACATTTCTCCCTGTAGATATATGTATGACAAAATAGAGGCATTGTTAGTTTTTGTGCTACAGTGTGAATAAAACTCCTTCAGTGGGGAAGTAAAATGGTTTCATTTCACCATGGATGAGCCTTTCAGCATCTTGCAAAGGTGAAAACAGATGTGCTGGTGGATATTGGTGATGTTTCATAGTTACACTTACAGGAACTGATTTTTTTAAATGGTCAATGTTGTGCCTTACACACTTCTTATTTTCCATCTTTTTAAATCATTTCTGTGTTATGGTGTTTGCTTATGTAGTTCCCCTTCCTGTTCACAGCATAATGCTATAAACTATGGGTAATTCTCTAATGCAAAGTTCTAATGCAAGTTTCCCACTTACAGAGAGGGCCCCGAAAAGTTTTTACAGTCACTGAGTGGGTGAGAGTGGACATTGAGATCAGGCCTCACAGTCTCCCAAAGAATGATGATCCTCTGGACTCCTAAGAGACCCAGACATGTTCTGTTACATGGACTCATGTCATCAAATGTTTAAAACAAGCTCTGACTGAGCTTTGAATGACTTGTTGCATTTTAAAAAAATTAAACACAGAGTTGCAAACCATCTAATTTTGTTCTTGTTGTCATGTTATGTGGTGTCCCAACTCTTATGGTATTAGATGGAATTCCTGTCAGTCTTTTGAGGAAGATCTGCATTTTTGGCTGCAGCTTCCTTCAGCCCACTGCAAGGGAGAGCTAAATTTGCTTGCCTCGATGTATCAGATCTGAAGGGGGAGTTCCTTTCAGCAACCCCCCCCCCCCTCTTCCCTCGTCTCCCTCTCTCTCTCACACACACACACACACACACACACACACACACACACACACACACACACACACACACACACACACACTCAGCATCTCCACTCTCACGATGTGTAAATCCATTGCTCTGATGCTTCGCAGAGGCACCAGCCAGTCCATCTGAGCCGCCCGTGGGAAGGATTTGAGTCACAGCTCCTGCAAGAGGTGAGTCATTCTTTCTTTCTGTTGTAGACACTCCTGATGGGTTTATTTCCCCAATTCAGAGCAAAAGTTGTTATTCATTTTGTGTAAACTGACACTTGAGAGTAACTGGTATCAGATCTATGTGGATTGAAAGTGATTATTTTTTCACCTGACGTGTTTCTGTGATGAATGAATGTGAACTTCACATTTGCTGGTGCTCAGATACAATTCGCAAGGAGCATGTGGCAGCAGCTGGACATTTTCAGGGCTGCTCTTTAGATTTGTTGCTTGTATTATGGACTTGAATTTCATATACAAAATATAAGAATGTATGATCTATTAGAGTATAAAGAGCAAAAAATTTAACTCTGCTTTTTTAAAGCCCTTCTTCATTAACAGCTCTGCTCTGCTCCTGTTCATGATGCTGGTTGATCTGTTTTAACACCTTTTTGATGGAGTCAAAGCTTTGTCGGAGGTGAATTCAGCACCAAAAAACCCAAGATATGTTATCCCATCACACCCACCCCCTTAAACTTTCACAGCAAAGTCTTGTGAGAAAATGCCCTGGTGTTAATGTGTCTAGTTTTTGCATTAACATGCACAGGACTGATTTTACTGCACTGGCAGAGGCTTGATCGTGCAGCAGCTCCATGTCAGCTGCTTCCTATGGGAACTCAAACACAGGAGGGGTCCAGATACTGCATGGTCTCATGGCTTACTGCCAGATCTGCGTTTGCTTTAGCTTAAGTTTCTAAAGCCCTGAATGCCTTGAACAAGGCATCTCTCATTCAGCATGTAGTAGGGAAAAACTGTAAGCTGGCTGTATTTTTAGCTCGGAGCTGGTGGAGGCGAAAGCATATGTCATGTCAGGAGAGAGCGCCATGCTGTGAGGCACAAAAACTGAACAAACGAGCAAGTACAAGTGAGTAAAAAGCTGAGAAATCTGTTTTATCATCACTGACAAAATCAAATAGGCATCAACAAAATGCTATTATAAGAGCTTCTGTTATAATCGTCTGGTGAGAATATCATTTCCCACCAAGATTACTCTCCACGCTGACAGACAGGCAGCAGTGAGCATCCCTGAGTGAGATAGGAGGATAACACATCTCCTGTAGAGGGCACAAAACTCGTCTACAAGTACAAGTCCATTAGAAATCTATGACTTGATTTGAATAATTAACAAACTCATGTCTGCTCCCCTGACTTATTCTCTCTGACATATGCAGAGGCAGAGTTGTGTGGCGAGGGAAACAGCTTCACTTCATCAAAGCTTATGTAAATAGTGACGAAGTAACAGAACATAATTGGAAAACAGCTGCTCATCCATACATGAGCACAACACAAAGAAAAGTAACCATACTTCTTCGAAGTTTCTGAGAAGAAGGGAACTTATTTAAATGTCCTTATTATTGGCTCAGACTTTCATTAGCTCTTACTCTCCCATTAACATTTATGTTTGTATCAGGCTCTTTTAACATCCTGACAGTAGTGGGAATGAATGCCATTGGATTTCTCTCAGTTTGTAATGGAGCTCAATTTGTCCCATTTTAATTTGTCAAATTGGGTGAGGAAAGGATAACACGATTGAGCTCATAAAGTGTCTTGTTCCCTTGTCTTTTTTTCTCACACTAAAGATAGAAACTGCTTGTCTTAAATTTTTTTACTGTTAAAGTGTGATTTTGGATATTTGCATACCAGAATAAGAACCTTTATGGAGAATTTAGCATCTCTGTGTGACAAAGTCCAGCACTTTGCCGAGCAGCTTGTGTTTGTGTTTCTGATGTTGTACAGAAAGGTTTGGTAAAATGAGTATTTAAAAGAAAACCCTGCCATCTTAATCAACCAAACCTCGTGAAATCTGTCGATAGGACCTGGTGTATCAGTTTTCCTGTCTAGCTTTGAAGGATTTGGTTATGGTTTGTATGGTAATAATTGTGTTATTTTTAAGGATGTGAGAGAGAGGGAAAAGAGCCATTTAACACAGTGTTTGTGAGGGTGTAACCATGACAACCTTTGAAGAAGTGCTCATGACCACAGTGTTTCCATCATTCGTATCAATATCATCAGAACTGGCTCCTCTTCAAATCAGCTGCAGATTGAGCTCAGGTTGATGAGCTCTCTTAGCGTAGATCACCTCCTCTGGTGGCGTCCTCAGAGATCAGAGAGAGAGAGAGGAGCAGCACACCGAGCTTTCAAATCCTGAACAATGAAAGACATAAAACATGACTGTGGCAACAGATAACAGCAGATAACACCAGTGTAATGACTTATATGTTTAAAGATCACAAAACAATGAGCCCAAAGTCTTCAAGAAAAACACTCATACAGGATGAAGCAAGGCACAATTGATGAGTTATTAACAGGACAAAGATCATTCAGCTTCATGTTTCTGTAAACTCATGAACCTTTGAGGGAATAAACCTTCTCTTACTGTCCAGCAGAAAACTGACAACTCCAGCGTCACTCTTCAAACACAGATTTGTCATTCAATGAAACACTCAAGTTAACCTTTATTTTCTGTCGTTACCTGTCCTGCTCTCATTTCAACTCTTCATGTTTTTGTTTTTGGATAAAGGGCTCTGTTTTCAAAGAGGCAGCGCAGCAGATGGTGGCGCACCCCGCGCAGTGGTATTTTTGTCTAGCAAAGCCTGGTGCACAGCCAGTTTGGTATTGCCATGCAAGATAGCAGGGTACACACAAGAAAATATTCAGGCCAACCCAACTTCCTTCCTCCAACAAAAGTCAACAAAGGCCTGGTTATCTTGTCAGATTTTGTGAGGTGTTCAATGATTTTTCGTTCCCCTATCTGCTCAGGTTAAAAGCAAACATAAGTCATTTGGGAAGCATACTGACTGAAGAGGAAAGTGCCACAAACATAACCATTGGCAACTGTAATAGAAATTAAGATGGACATTAGAAATCACTTGGGATCACAACAGTTCTTCACACTGTAGAAATGCACCTCATGGATTATAGACAGATAACCTCTCATTTTAGTCGTTGCCATCATCAAAACATTACACTCTGATACCCTGTTTCTTGGCTGCTTTACAGTCATTTAATGTCTCTGCTGTGTTGACAGCTATTAACAAAACTGGTGTCATAACTCTGTCTGCCTGAGCTGTTGAAAAACTAAGCCGACTTTTGATCCACTTAATTATTATAAAACTTAATCATATCAAATGTTTTTGGGCAGAACATGAACCAATTAGAGTGTCCTTTAATTTCTCTCAAAGACAAATTACTTGGAGACTAATGATCCTGTATTTAGGGCATTGCTCATGAAACAATGTCAGCCTGGGTTCAGCTGTGATTACAGATCATTTTGCCTCATTAGCACCTGTCTGCCTGAACTCCGAGCACTAACAGAGGCTTCTGATTATTCTGAGGCACAGTTTAGACTTATCAATGCTGCAGTGTCAATTAACCACACTGTCATGTTGCTGAATCATATTGTCTGATGTGCATCAAACATATCAATACTTTAGAGCAGTGGTTCTCAATCCAGTCCAGAGTCAGAGTTATCAAGTCATCAAGCTCTGTAATGGCTTAATAACGAGCTGATCATTTGAATCAGGTGTGTTGGAGCAGGGAAACATCCAAAACATGCAGGACAGGGGAGGCTCGCAGCAGGCCTTTCCTCCTCTTTTGGCTTGACTTTAAGGGCTGCACGAGGCTAAGAGCATTTAAATGATGTAAGAATGCAGAGGAAGCGAAAAGCTTGGCCTCCCCTCAAAATAATCTCCTACCACTGTATCAGTATCTGGTCTTATGTTTACACCAGGGGTGGCAAAGCTGTGCATAGCAAGTTTCCTTCTGGATAACATACTAAAGGTGCTGTTAAATCACATTTCAAAGCTCTGCCGTTGACTTCTAGTGGTGTAAAAAAATAAGTTTGATGAAGCTCTTAGGTTCAAGGTCTTGGTTCAGTATAATTTTGGTACAACAGGGTGAAAAAAAACCAAATGGCATTTCCTTAAAGGACTTTTACCCATCGTGTAAAGTACACACCAACAGTCCATGCTTGTAAGTCATTTTTATAACATTTTACATAAAATAATGAAAAAAAAAATCATATAAAAATACAAAATCCAACTAGGAATCAAACAGGATCTGAAATTCACCCCCCACTAAGCCCTAAACTCACACTCAACTCAAACGTCACTGTCATTGTTTGACCATCAGCAATTAATTTTCTGAGCCTGAGCATGTAGCCCACAAACACCATTTGACAGAGCTTCATCCATCTCATTCTCCCAGCTTAGTCTCCCAGCTTCTGCTGCACTGCTGCTCCACTACCTGTCCACTGGACCTAATATCTTCAAACCTCTTGTTGACCATATTTCCTGCAGTTATCACATCATCTAGCTTCCCTGTCAATGTTTTACCTTCTGCATTCAAGCGAACCACTGCTTGAAAACCCTCCATCAAGCCAGACCATCTTGAAAACACCAGACCAGCTTCACTTCTGCCTTTCTTGTCAAAAACTTAAACAGAGTCTTTAACCATGTCATTGAGTTTCTGCACAATAAAGATGCACTTGATTCAATGGGGCTTTAGGTGAGACCGCTCCACTGAAACTACGCGTCCTCTGCTCTATTGCAATTTGATTTTTTAGCTGCCTCTGGTGCTGTGAACCACTAAACCCTCCTGAGCTCTGATTCTCTGAGCTGAGTATATCAAGATTTGCCCTGTCTCACAGGAAGATCTATTGAAGGGTGGTCCATTGACTGAAAAGCCTCACGAGTCAGTGCTAGGTCTCTGTCTCTTCCCAGTGTACACAATTTCACTTGTTGCAATCATTCACTCTCGTGATTTCCTATACTTTTGTAATAATTCTCAGAATACCCAGAACTTTATGTTGTTTCACACGAGTTTCACCTCATTTTTCCATCCTGTTTTGATGAAGAAACGCCACCTTCAGCCCCTGGTAAAGGTTCTTGTAATGTCACACATTGACTTCTGCAACTCCTGGCAGACCCCTGCATTCACATTCAAACCTCAGTAGAGAGAGGATCATGAGTTGTCTTCAACCACCCTGAACCATTAAGTCACTCTGCATCTCTTCCCTTTTCTCCACCGGCTTCCAGTTGTTGCTTGCATTAAATTTCAAACTCTTCTGCTTGCTTCCAAACAGCAACTAAGGCCCCACTGACACATATGTGAATATTTCAGTCAGGAGAGACATTTAAAGATTAGAAAATTTATTGAACAATTATTAGAATGATGCTTGACAGAAAGTCTTCAGTGCTCGGACTCAATGCTGTGATTTGTAAGAATGTAGGATGCCTGATCTGTGCAGTGGCAGGAAAATCCCCCAGTGGAGCCCTGAGGCTGGTGGTGGCTGATGAATGCTGGGACCGGATGGATGAATGATGGCGCTGTTGATTCTGCTGAGGTGGAGATGGGGAGATGGAGGGTGCTGCATACAAACCAGTGGTGAGAAGGAACTAGAGGCAGAGAAAAAATTGATTATTAACATGAGCGCAGAACAAGGATAGTCTGACTGTGAGTGTGTGCTACCATGCTATTGGATAAGGAAAGACACTGGTAGATGGCTGATTGAGAGGACTGGACAGGTCAGGGCACGGTGAGAAGGGGAAGATAAGTTTCTCCTCATGGAGATACTCACATTATTTTCAACTCGAGAGTAAGGGGAAAAACAACATTTCGGTAACATATAATCTGTGTCCCGGGTCAAAAATCCTTTCTAGAGCAAACAACAGCAACAGCAATCTACTGAAGTGCCTGGAGATGCGGCATGCTTCGACAAAGTTAGCAGCTAAGGTAGCTAAAGCAGCATCCGAGAACAAGAGTCACAGCAGTGAGCACACACCCACTCCACCGAAGCAGCAGTGGTTGGAGTTCGAAAGACAGACTCAAAGCCAGGCACAACTTCATGTACAGATCATATTGCTTGGATGATTAGATTCAGTGATGCAAATGCAAATGAATTAAAATGGTTGCTTTAATCAACAGTTTGTTTTATTCAGTATCAGTACAGAACTGACGCCTAGAGGGGAACTCAGTCAATCTACCTTTATGTAATGGGAGCACTGGAAGAATGTTTTACAGTAACAAAATAGTTGTTTTCTCAGTAACGCATTACATTTTGGTTTAAGTGACTGAGTTACTGACTGAGTTACTTTTTTTTACAAAGTAACTAGTAACTTTAATTATTTACTTTTTTCAGTAACTAGCACAACACTGTTAACCAATGACTGCTCTGAGTGATGACAGCTGGAAAAGTGAGTAGGCGTGGGAGTGGAAAAGACACTAAGGCATCTGTGATGGCGATTATAGTCTTCCTGACTTAATTGACACTGGAGCTTTACTTGTGAAAACACACACTTTGTGTATGCTAAAATGGTGCCCGCCTACCTCTCATCTTGGCTGACACTCACTCTAGTCCAATATGCTGTGTCAAAGAAAGGTTCCTGGTAATCCTGTATCAATAGAGCCCAGATTTCCTGGCCAGACTCTGGTCCACTGTTGTCCCTTTGTGGTTGAATGAATCACCAGACTCCATCCGATGTGCCTCCGAGTCCCTCTGGTCACTTGAAGTGTTAAATACTGAACTCTTTAGTGAATTTAGTAATGACACTGATGGTAGTAATGATGTTAATGATGATGATAATCAGATCTGGATCATTGTGTTGTTACATGTTGTAATTATTATGACACTGTAATTGTTGCTAAAGGTTTATTTCTTCTTGAAGCCAGGCAATCTAATTTACATTATAAGGAGCTGAAGTAGAAATTACTCTATTTAAACATAGCAATTTTCCTCTTCATGGACACAAAGCCTTATTCAAAGATCCTGTGAGGACACAGTGACGCGTCTCTATGATGTAGAAAAGGAGACCACTGATGACAAGATGACAGTTTCTGCACTGTAATTTTTTACTGCCTGTATCTGCTGTGAGTGGGCAGGTACGCTGAAGACGCAGCTTCAGTTACTCTTCCCACTGCTTATATTGATGGTGAGTGATAGATTTAACTGTGATTAGTCAGCAGTAGTGGATAATTTTTGTCACTTTCTCAAAGATGAGATGAAATCACCAACACAATAAGAGTTATCCTCTTTGACCACCAGGGGGCACTATAGTCAAAACAGGCAGAAATTTTTTAACAGGAGTTACAAACAATTTATTTATTATTGGATAACAAATGATCAACATTCTGACAAAATAAATCTTAAAAATTATCTGTGTAACATGAAAGGGTGCATTATTTTGAGGATTTCCATAAATCATAAAACAAGAAAATGTAAAGACTAGATTATAGCAGCATGTTATGCTAAATAAGAAGTAAACAGATCAAATGTTGCTCTACTGTGACAGTTTGACTCTAAATGCTTTATAACCACATTATTTTGCAGTCTGCGTGATACAGTCCTGCAAATCACACTGAAGGATTTGGATCATGCTTTATATAGCATGTTGGTATGTTTATGCAAATAGCTTGGACTAGCAGGTTGTTGTTGGCATGATTAGTATTTAAGGGTGATTAGATCTGATTGCAGCTGTTGCTGTATGTATGAACAATATTCTGCTTGCAGCATGAATAATTTAAAACACACTGAAAGGTAAAAAGAAAAAAAAAAAAGGAAATAGTTCCAGTTTCAACAAAAGCTGTCCTCTGTTGTTTTTGTCCTGATTTCATTCCCATATAACCACTCAACTATTATTTAAATCCTGAAAAATGTTTTTATAACTGACCATGTATCTATATAAATACTGTGTGTTGTAATAAGAGCCTTTCATATCTTAGAAAAATATACTGTTAAAGAGGGTTTCCTGAGCTTTTACATCAAGATGCGCCTAACTGGCTCTGAAGTTTCCACAGTTATGGATCGTAAAGAATGTCTTCATGTAATACTGGGTAAGAAGAGAGTTTTTTAAGACAGGAGATAATCAGCTCTCAGCAAATCATCCCCCAAATGTCTCTCTTGATTCTTTGATAGAGACACTGTGGGTTAGCTGCTGTCTGTTTTGTAACAGCTGCAGCAGATCTCCATCAATAACTAACCCCCCCTGAGATTGTCAGTGCACAGAGAGGAGATACAGAATGCCTGAGGATACACAGAGACTGGAGGACTAACAAGGAACAACAGATCACACAGACTGAATTCTCAGGGTTGGAGTGATTTAAACAGGTTGTGTGGTAGTCAGGCACGACAGACGCACCGCTCTGATAAAGTTGTAAATGAGTGAGGTAATGACTGACAGAGCGCAGGGTGGTTTGATGTGTGAGTGCCAAACACACTTAACTGGGATTATAATTTATACATCTTCACACTCAAGAAGCCACACACTCCACATGCTGCATCTCTGACACCACATGTTCAAACAGCAACCCAAGCTGCTTCACACCCAGCAGAGAGTGCACGAAGCAACACTGTGCACATAAACTAAATGTCGAAGTATTCCTCATAATGTAGACCTGTTTATCAAACACGCACAGCTCCTCTAGGCTGTATCTGTTATTAATGAGCTGCTTTTTCTTTTTGGCTGATGACTCTGCAGCTGATAGAGAGAGCAGTCTGCTGTCTCTGTAAAAACTGAGAGTCCTTTCTCATGCCACGCTCTGAAAATCCAGCACCAGTGTGGCAACAGTATTCTCTAGTTCAACCTTTGAAACATAAGTGAGTGTTTTTGAAAAAATTCCAACAGCCGTGTCTGTTTAGTCAGAGGAAAGTAGACATTTTCTTTATTCATGATCAAGGTCTTTTTTATTTTTCAAATGTAACAAACACAGGAAATACAATTCACACATGGGACAAACAAGATTAGTTCCTGTCCAAACATACTAACTTCCCGCACCCCCCACCTACTTGTACTGGAACCCAAGAAAAATTCAATACATCCAGATTGACACATACACAGACTAGGTGAATAAAAAGAAGACTAAAACGAAGTGAAAATAAAGAAGAAGAAAAAAAACACATACATTTGGGTTACATAGACATGTTAGTAGCTGCCGTACCTTCCACAAAGGAGATAAATGGCTGCCAAATAGAATTAGACATAGAATTTTCTAGTGGTCCCTCTTACAGTATATCAAATTTTTTCTAAATGGACGTAACTCATAACTTCCCTTATCCATTGGCCATACGTTGGGGGGGAAGCATCTTTCCATTTAAACAGGATAAGTCTCCTGGCCAACAAAGAGCAGAAGGCCATCATACCTAGGTGGTTCCCGGAAAAAGCGGCACCAACCAGAGCCACACCAAATAGTGAAATCAAAGGAGATGGGTGCACTGTTTTCCCACATATTCTGGAGAATGCCTCAAAGATAGAATGCCAGAAACGGTATAACATGGGGCACGACCAAAACATGTGATCGTTGCAGACAAGCTCCTGCTACACTACTGCACATGTAGGGTCAAAATCTGCCTTAATCCTAGACAATCTATCTTTGGTTCAATGAAGACGGTGAACTATTTTGAATTGAAGCACAGTGTGTCTGAGGCATATAGAGGAGGAGTAAATTTGCTGAATAATTTTTTGAAATCGTTTGATCTAAGTCGGTTTTCCACTTTATTCTAAGGCCGTCCAGACTGTTCATGTTATGTGTATTGAGTAATGTATAAATTCTGCCTATTATTTTTTTTATGTTGACTTTAGATTTCAAAATTGTTTCAAGCAGAGATTCAGGAGGGCTCAGTGGAAAACAGTCAGAGTTGGACGACACAAAACCTCTAAGCTGCAAATACCTGTAGAAGTGTGATTTGTTAAGGCCATATTTATGTTGCAGCTGTGCAAAAGAAGCAAACTTATTTTCAATGTAAAGATCAGATAACATACATATTCCACCTCTTGCCCAGACATTAAAAGCATCATCCATCATTGACGGGACAAACATATGATTTTTGATCAATGGTGTTGCCAGTGAAAGATCAGTGAGATTAAAGGTCCTTCTAAACTGGTTCCAGGTTTTAATTGAATGGATAACAACTGGATTAGTAGTGAAAGCTGAGATAGGCTGATCCAAAGGTAATTCGGAACATAATAGCGCTGCTGGGGAAGAAGAACCAATGGATGCCCTCTCCAGCCCTGTCCATTCAGCACTGTTAACATCCGAGCCATCATCTCTCATCCAATATAGCAGAGCTCTTACATTGAGAGCTCAGTGATAATACATAAAATTTGGAAGTGCCATACCTCCCATTGTGCGAGGCCTCTGTAATATATTTTTATTAATCCTGGGCTGCTTTTTATGCCAAATAAGTGAAATTTGACTGTTTAATTTGGAAAAAAAAGATTTTGTTTGAAAAATAGGGAGACATTGAAATAGTTACAGAAACTTAGGGAGAATGTTCATCTTGATCGTGTTGATCCTTCCCCCTAAGGAGAGAGGCAGAGGGTCCCAACGCTCCAGGTCTTGTTTAAGATTACTTGAGAGGAGATGATAATTAGCCTTATAGAGATCCTTATGATTACGTGTGACCCAAATACCTAAATATTTTATTTTGTTGGAACTAAATTTGAAGGGGGTCGTCCCAAAGTATGATCTGTCTACAGAAGAGATAGGCATAAGTTCACTTTTCTCAAAATTGACTTTATAGCCAGATAGTTTTCCGAACTTTGTGAGTAAAGTCGATAATTCAGGAAGGCTTGAGAGGTGGTCCGATATAAATAATAACATGTCATCAGCATTAAGTGAGACTTTATGCTCCAAACCTGCCCGGTACATCCCTTTAATGGTGGGGCACTGCCTCAAGGCTACTGCAAGTGGCTAAAGTGCAACAGCAAACAAAAGCGGTGACAGAGGGCACCCCTGTCCTGTGTCCCGCTTCAGCTCAAAATAGGTGGATAAATTATTGTCGGTGCGGACTGCAGCCATCGGAGGTGTGTATAGGATTCTAATCCAGGAGATGAATTTAGGGCCGAAATGAAATGCTTCCAGAGTCTTGAAAAGATAGTCCCACTCCACCCGATCAATCGCTTTTTCAGCATCGAGAGAAAGCATCACCTCAATGTTCCCAGGATCGGGTGGAGTGGGACAATAAAGGATATTAAATAAACGCCTGATATTAAAAAATGAATAGCGATTTCTGATAAATCCTGTCTGGTCAGATGTAATAATACTAGGTACAATGTTTTTGAGACGACGCGCCAAAGTTTTTGCAAGAATCTTCGCGTCTGTATTCAGCAGCGAGACAGGACGATATGAGCTGCAATTGAGGGTTTTTATCCTTTTTAAGTAATAAACAGATGACTGCTTGACGCATAGTTAGGGGCAAGGAATTGGTGACTAAGGATTCTTCGAACACTAACAATAACAAAGGAGATAACTGGTCGGAGAACTTTTTGAAAAATTCGGTTGGGAAACCATCTGGCCCAGGAGATTTGCCATTTTGCACGGCACTGATTGCCAACATTATCTCCATAACTGAGAAATCCCTTTCCAGTTCAGCCGAGAGTTCTACACTTACAGAAGGCATTTTCAGGGATTTAAAAAAGTCCTCTAGGACGGAGGGATTGATGGGCATTTCTGAAGTTTATAATAATTGGTAAAAGTTTTTGAAACAGGAATTGATTTTGTCATTGTCAGTGCATTTTATACCACATATATCATTAATTTCAGGGATGGTTTGGTTAGCAGTTCTTTGGCGCAGCTGGTGAGCCAGTGCTCGGATGGATTTTTCCCCGTGTTCATAATAACCATGTCTTGATTTGGAAATCTGGTATTCTGCCTGTCTGGTGGACAGGAGATCAAACTCTGTCTGTAATGACAAGCGTTTTTTGAGTATGACTGCCGATGGTAGTGGTGTGTCGGTCTTGAACGAACGGATCAAAAGAACTAGTTCTTTTTGATGAACGAAATGAACTAGTTCTCCCCCCCTAAATGACCCGTTCAATCCGTTCAGTTCTTTTGATTGGCTGAAGAGGGACTGCTTGCCTGTCTTATCCTATCTTCGCGCCTCGTTCTGTGTGTGGGTGGGGCTTAGAGAAGCAGCAGCAGTACTACTGAGCTGACTGAAAGACCGGAATGACCGAGCTGACTGAAAGAACGGGTCAAATGAACGAAAGACCTAGTTGACTGAAAGAACGGGTCAAATGAACGAAAGACCGAGTTGAACGAAAGATCCAGACGGATGAACGAGTTGAACGAAAGACCGAGTGAACAAAAGATCCAGACGGATGAACGAGTTGAACGAAAGACCGAGTGAACGAAAGACCGAGTTGAACGAAAGACCCAGACCGATGAACGAGTTGAACGAAAGACCGAGTGAACGAAAGATCCAGACGGATGAACGAAAGACCGAGTGAACGAAAGACCCAGACCGATGAACGAGTTGAACGAAAGACCGAGTGAACGAAAGACCGAGTTGAACGAAAGACCCAGACCGATGAACGAGTTGAACGAAAGACCGAGTGAACGAAAGACCGAGTTGAACGAAAGACCCAGACCGATGAACGAGTTGAACGAAAGACCGAGTGAACGAAAGATCCAGACGGTGAACGAGTTGACTGAAAGACCGAGTTGACTGGCCACCGCACGAGCCCCGACAGCCGAGCCGGAGCGAGCGGGACAGTCACACACACACAAAGGCACACAGCTGCTGCTGCAGCAGCCGGAGGCAGAGAGACAACTATTAATATGCATTTGCACTGTCTGTTGACATTTTGTACTTTTTATTATTGTTTTGAATGCACCTCAAAATAATAAAAAACCATTAAAAACCTTATATATTTTGTTATTCCTACTATAATTTTATATTACAAGTAGTGCAGTGCGATCGTAGCGTTGGACCGGGGGTGGGAAGTGGAGAGTGCAGCGGTCACAGAGTCGGACCGCGGGGGGGGGGGGACGAGCGGACTGACTAATGACCGATTGACCGAAATGACCGAAAAGAACGAAATGAACGGGTCTTTTTACTGAACGACCCGAAATGATCCGGTTCACTGAAATGACCGGTTTTGCCCACCACTAGCCAATGGGGAGTGGCTATGAAGCCTGTCCAATTGTAATATCTCATCCGTTGATTTTTTAATACGCTCAGTGCTAGTTCTTTTCTTATTTGCACAGTATGAAATAATTTGACCCCTTAAATATGCCTTTAGCGATTCCCATACAATAGATGATGTCATCCCTGGGGTTTGATTGATGTCAAGAAACATTTTCATTTCAGATTATATGAATTTAGTGAACTCATCATCTGACAGAAGCAAGGAGTTAAACCGCCATGGACGGTATGATGATTGTGTATCGGGAATGTATATTTTTGTGATTAAGGGGCGATGATCCGAAATAACCATAGCCCCGTGGTCACATTCTTTTGTAAGATGCATAATTCTTTTAGTCAGGAAAAAGTAATCGATGCGTGAATACGTCTTGTGAACCGAAGAGTAGTAAGAGTACGACCTGGAGGTGGGGTTGCGAAACCGCCATACATCTGCTACACCATAGGTCTTCAGACAGAGCTGGTTTGGCTGATTTCGACTGGGATGCCCTCTTAGAAACACTCCTATCTAAGAGAGGAGAAAGTGCACAGTTAATGTCACCACCAAGTATAAGATAATGTGAAGTCATATCTGGTAAGTGAGAAAAAAAATTGATAAAGAATGTGGGGTCATCCCAGTTCGGTGCATAAACACAGGCTAAAATAACAGGGAGTGAATATAATTTTCCTACCACAATGACATATCGCCCTGCAGTGTCAGTCTGTACGTGAGATGCCATGAACTGTACATTTTTACCAATCATAATTGCAACACCCCGTGCTTTGGGCTGAAATTGGATTGGTACACCTGACCAGCCAATCCCCTAACAAGACGAGAACTATCACAAGAACTTATATGGGTCTCTTGTAGGAATGCAATATCTACTCTCAGCTGTTTTAAGTGTGAGGATATCTTTTTAAATTTCACTGGGTGATTGAGTGATTTAACATTCCAGCTTATTAAATTGGCAGGGCAACCATCATGACCTCTGATGTTGTTTATATTGGCCATATTGTGTACACAGAGAAATGAGCACCATATATGAAACCCAAGTACACAGAAACACAAAAACAAACATAACTAAAAATAAAAGTCTGGTGGAGTAGATTCAGTTCGTACATAGGTCCAATAGTTACACCCCTCTTATCACCCCCCTGAACAAGGTGATAACAACAACCCCAAAGGAAAAAAAAAATCCACACAATAAGTGCTTGTGATTGGGCAAAAACATAGACTGTATATACAATGGACAACTTGGTTCCGCCTACCGCTTGTATACGGATTTGAAGCCAAATAGCTCTCGGTATTTCTTCATTTTTCTTCATTTCCTGAAACCAGCGCTGTGCAGTAGCGTTGTGCGCATTCGGCCGCACAGTCGCAGAGAGTCACTGTGATGACACTCGGCTCAAACAGCGTATCCCCCGGGTGAGCTACTCAATCCTTGAACGCCCATAGGCTGTATCAGGTGTCAATCATAGAAAACATGAACCCCCTAATAACTTTTAAAAACGGAGCTTCACAGAAAGAAGAGGACTTGAGCACAAACCAGTCTTACAATAACTACATGCCAACATTGCAAGCAGAGGGGAGAAAAATTCATGTTCAGTGTAATAAATTTCTAAAGTTGGTCCACAGCCCCATAAGCTTTGCTGGCGGAGGCGGGATTTATGACCTAGACTGCAGCTACTACTACTTTTTTTTTTTTTTATAAGCTATGCAAAGTAAACTTAGATTATGATTTTTGGGAGAGAAAGTATATGGCTAATCATGAGGTTTAGCAAGGTTATACAGCCTTACTTCCTCACTTCCTTAATAAGCACTGTGCCATCCATGTAAACAAACCACTGTGGCCGACCAGACTAACCCATAAAAGTAATCAGGAACTGAAATATTATGTCTGTCATATTAACTATGATATCCTATAGATCGAAACATCAAACCAGAACCTTACTGGTAACACTAAGTCGAGCATGAAATAAAATGTCGGCCTATGGGCCCACAGTTCAAGCAGTCGAACAGTATGTAGAAAATGTAAACACTGTGTTATAACTGTATTTGTACCCGATGATTTCTGGCACTGTAGTACACGTGTTCAACATGCCTGTATGTCAACGGAAGCATGTATGATCAGCCGAGAAGTTCAGTCTCACGGTCATTCACCAGCCTCCGCAGGCGGGAGGATGCTTTTCTTCACGTAAACCATTGCTTTGTCCGGGTCAGTAAACTCCCTATCGTCTCCCCTGAACGTGATTCAGTACCGGACTCCCTCTTGGTAGCGAAGTAGCTTCCTCACCTCTGTAAATGCAGCTCGAGCTTTGGCCACAGTTGCCGTGTAGTCCGGAAAGATGGTAATCGGTTCCCCGTTGAAGCTGAGTGGGCCCTGGCTGCGAGCGCGCCGCAGTATCTGGACACACTCTTGGTAGTAATGTAGCTTAGCAACAATGGCTGGAGGTTTTCCGCCCGTCTTCTTCTGCCCAAGGCTCCTGTGCGATCGATTGATCAGTGGCTCTTTATCTAACTGTAGCACCTCAGTTAGCAGCTTTGATACAGAGGTTGTTGTGCCTGAGTCGGGTGCCTCGGGTACGCCGATGATTCTTATGTTGCATCTCCTCGACCGCCCCTCCATATCCTCACACTTCGCTTTCAGCACTGCAATTTCTGTCTTCATCTCGTTCACCGTTTCTTGCAAAGTAACCACTTCATCCGACCATGCAGATAGCCCCCCCTCCACATCTTTGATGCTAACTTTAGCCTGGTCGATCCCATGCTTCAGCACCTTGGTGTTGTTCATTATCTCCGTTTTCATCACCTTCAGGTCGCTCCTGAGGTTTTCAAATTCATCAGCGAGGGCATTCTTTAGTTCTGACCTTAACACCATTGAAATATCCGCTTTCAGAGACATTTTTTTTATTCAATGTGAGTTTATAGATTCGTTGATGAAAAATACACCCAGAAAAAAACAGCCCTTGTCCATCTTGTTTTTAACTGACATCTCGAAATCATAGTAATTAGCTTAAAGTCTGGGCTCTTGCATTTACTGTTTCAGCAGGACTTTGCATTTTATCATTGAAGCATGTATAAATCAGAAGTAGTGTTAGGAGTGATGCATTCAAAGTTTTCCACAGGAGCACTTTAATGACTTTTGTGCTACAATAAGTAACATTTTGCTTAAGCTCTGTGATTGGGGTAATCTGTTAGTAAAGGGATATTCCGCAGTAAATTTAAGTTATGGTCAAATACACCATAACACCGAGTTAGACTTCATGTCAAATGTGTGACTGATTAAAGTTAGACAGGAGTAAAGCTGCTCTATATCAAACATGTTAACTTTTTCTTTACAAAGGACTTTGTGGCAACATACGGTTTCAAAATCACCCTTACGTTTGAGTGCAGTACAGCATCTGAACAAAGTTCAACAGATATATGGATGCATTATTTCATAACAAGCACACTTTTCTAACTTTTCTCTCTCATAACTGTCAGTATAAGAGAGGTGACTGCTGTTTCAGACCACCACCACCAGAAGCTTCCTTTTTTGGTGCGGATTGAAAGAAAATCCTAAAGCTTCATAAGGCATCATCCGCCTTTCTCTCTCAAAAGGGCATGAAAGCAAAAAACAAGAAAGTCACTTGGACAGAGTACAACAATCAAAATGGCAAAGAAGTGGAAAAGAAGAAACAAAAAGGAACTACAGTAAGGAGAGACTGTTACCTGCAGTCTCCTCTGTCTTCTATCCTTTGCTGGACTGGCTGATTAGACTGATCATTAAAACTGTAAATATTCATAGTCATAGAGGTGATGAAGACAAGAGCAAATACTGGTAAAGTATTTGATAATGATGCATTCTACCAATAAGAGGATTTGTATGGGTCTGAGCAGGACACAGAATCGATAAAGTTTATGTAGTTTGTGTGAACTGAAAATCAGCCTCTAATGTTTACAGTGGTGCAGTCCACCATCTTGTACTGCAGCACAGACAGGATAAACTAGTAGTTTATTTCTTTTCATATGAAGAGATCACACAAAATATAAGAAGAAGAAGAAGAAGAGGAAAGAGGGCTTATTGTTGTGTGCAATATAATTTGTTTTAATCGATATTTTTGATGGCAAAAGCTTGACAAATGAATGACCATACTAACTGTCCCTTCATCCACTTGAGGCATGAGCAGGGGAGCACTACAATCTAAATAAATCTCTCTTTGTATGAGTGGCTCTTCAGCTCTTCATTTCCGCTCCTGCTACCGTGGAAGATGTAATAAAGGAAACGTCAACAAACAGGCGTATTTTCTGTCCCTGAATCAGGACACCGAGGAATGTCCTATGATAGTGATATCAATAAATAATAATCTCATGTTAGCTAATGTAAACTGTGAAAAGTCTCTGTGGAGACCTGCCATATAACGTGAATTAATGAACTTCAAATTGCTCCAGCCAATGGCAGTTTGAATGATGACTGCACATGAGGGGTTTAAAAGCAATGAAACAGCAACATGAATTAAGCTTTTCAGCTGTAATTCCTTCTCTCTTTGGAAAGCTTAAGATAACTGCTGCTTTAATTAATATATGCAAAAATTAATTTCCAATTATAGTGATTCTATCAGTTATATTTCCTGCAATTGTTTTGTTCAACACCACAGCAGTGAAATGTGTTGACGACTTAAACCTGGGTTTTTCATTATGCCTCTCACTGCAGGTTAATTAAGGTGTCTGCTCGTAGAGTCACTTTGTGTTGGGATAATTTCACTCTGCTGGGATAAGGCGGAGTGTGGTGGAGAAAATGGAGTATAAAGTTTGAGCTAAGCTTTGGTTGAATAGTTTTATTATGTCACTGAGGTGTCTGTGTCTTTCTTTCTTTCTTACTTTCTTTCTTACTTAGTTCCACTTAGTTGAGATGCTTTTTTCACAGCATTAATGACCTCATTTACCATACAATCTTCAGAATTTCACAGGGTAGAGTAAAGGGGTTTGAAATGCCTCTGTGCAGAAAAACATAAGCAACTTAGATGATGTTGTTTTACAACGCTTTAGGGTCTGTTTGTCAGGGTCATGGGATGAGTTTAAAAGTGGAGGCCCGCAGCTAAACATAAATCTACAATTATAGACCATCAGCTGAGTCAAAGATCAAACACAATGCCCCATTCAGTGTTGAAACATGCAATGTCATGACCTTCATTCATTATCATCTCAGCTGTTTGAAACAGCACTCATGCCTTTTTAAAGATGACGCAAAATCCAATGCATGTGGAGTTCCTTCAATGGAAATACGACCGTAGGCACCATTTTATAATTTTTTTTTCCGGGAAACATCTGATTTGAACCTTAAATCCTTGATAACAGAACTTATCTGATTTAATCAGGGAAATGAGCCATAAAATGCAACCTTTTTGCATAGCGTCATATGGTTGTTGGGATGGGGAGAAAACACTTATGACTTATCTAAAATATGCAGGTCAAAAGCTAAGAGAAGGACGGGTTGGGTTTTCCAGATTCTTATCTGTTTTTCTTCTTATCTAAATCTAGAGTAATACAACAAAAGTTAATTTTAAATATAGCTGAGAATTCAGGCTGAGAACTACCACAACACATCTAAGACTCTTATAAAAGATGATAGAAATGCTCTTTATACTTTGTTAAGCTGCTTTTATAGGTCCAAAACAAAAACAAACATTTAACAAATGCATCAAAGCAAAAAGCAGCAAAGGGGTAGTATTTACAACACAACTATCACACAGCATATCTCCATAGTGCTGTTGGGGACACATTTCTCCTGCACATAGTTGTCAGTTAAGGGGGGGCGGGGGGTGTCCCCCCCACTTTTTGTCAGGGGTCATTTTGTCTCCACCACACACAAATCTTTCACGTGTAAGCCATTGTAACCCCAGTTATTTTCAGCAGTATTTACAATTCCAACACTCCTGAACACACCATTCCTATTCGTCCAAGATTTGCTTAGGGATGCAGCAGACCTTCACGGATAACAAAAGGAAATAGGAAATAGGATAACAAAAACGTGCAGCTGTAGTAAAGTTGCATCTGTGCCAAGTTGAAGCTGCGACCCAGAGTGTGCTTTTTTTCTGATAATACCTGTGGTGAGTTAGAAAACTTGTTAGCTCGTTTAACCCTATGATTATCCTGTGTAATAAATATATGCAAGGGGGCGTTAGTTGGCTACATTAAATAAAATGGTTAGTTGGCTACATTAAATAAGTCTACACATTTTATAGTAGCCATACCAAAAGTAAAATCAATTATAGTCATCATCCAAAGTCACCTTCGCTAGAAGCTGTCCCCCCCATTTTTCGAAACAAACTGGCGCCCTTGCTCCTGCATGACCCAAACTGGCCTGAGTGTAAAATGTAGCTCTTACAATAGGCGCCATGCTTGCCTCTTGCTAACTTGTTTGTCGGTTGTTTTGGTGTGTGATGTAACATGTCTACTGGGTCAAGGCCCGATCGTAATGAGGTGAAAGGAGGCATATGGCCCCATACCACAGCAGAGACAGACATACTTTCCTCAATAAACTGGTTCTCGACCATTACTTGTAAACTGGGACGAGCTCAGTAATCCAATTTAATGGCCCATTTTAGCAATCTCAGTGTGACTTAATGGTGTGTATCGCAAACTACAGCTGAGCCACATCCACCCCTTAATATACTGACTTATTCCTTTATATCTTGTCCACCCTCACCCCTAATACACACACACACACACACACACATACACACACGACCAAGGGCCTGATCTACTAAGATCCAAAATAGCGAGTGTTAAATTGCGTGTGCAACCTACAAAATTGCACATGCTATTAGTGGGCGTGTTGCGGGGGATCTACTATCATTGCCTGCACAATTGATAACAGTGCAAAAGTGGTGCGGACCACCCTCTTTAAATGGGGATTTTGCGTGCGCTATCGGCCGTCACCATGAAGAGTTTGTAAGAACAGTGTTTGAAGCCATGGAGTTGCACATATCGTATTAGGGAACTGCATAAAAGGAAAGGCAAGTATCTTTGTACAGCACAGTTCATACAATAGACATTTCAAAGTGCTTTACAGATACAAGAAGATATAATAGATATCAAAAAAGGAATTAAAACGGTTTAAAATCAATGAGACAAACATATTTTTTTTCATCTGTTCCGTGTTTGACCTTATTATTTATGAAAATCATAATTTACTAGAAAACGAAATAAATCACAAGCTTTTGGACAAGGATCATGGCGTGTATCATGGCACTTCTGCCTCCTTCTCCCCACAATGACCGTGTGTAATGCTGTGTCATTATGCACGTGCCTTTCAAACGTGCTAAATATAGAAACAAAACAGCGACCGCAGTCGGTTTTCGGGTTTGATAGATCACACTGCGGGTACTAAATGATTGCATTTGCATCTGCTCCTCACAGAATTTTGGGTGTTCTGATGATCTACATACAGCCTGCATATTCATAAAGGTAAACATGCTAAATCGATGTTTAAATCGTGCTGTGTTGCTCATTTGACAGACGCAATCCTCGGTGCACCCAGTTAGTAGATCAGGTTTGCATGAGCTATCAAGTTTGCACGTGTTTTTGCACACGCAAACCTTTAGTAGATCAGGCCCTAAGTGTGCAGAGCCACATGCTGGGTCTCCGTTTCCATCACAGCCATCACGTGGAGTGACAGACCATCAGCTGCACTGATTTAAAACTTCCCTGTGGTGTTTCACTTTTCCTTGTTATTTTCTTTTTGACATTATTTTAATGTGGAGATAAAGTTTGTGCATTAAAGCGAGGTGTGCCCTAAAATATGGGAAAAAGACATGTCTGTGGTTCTTCACTGAGGAAGATTTAGCTATGAATAGGAATGATCAGCACAGGTCACAATGTGACCCATGAGCAGAGTTTGTAATATAACAGCTGAAAATGTAAAGATGAGGAAATAAATCCTTGACCTCAGAAAGGGGTTCAAACGTTCAAACAATGAGAAAAATGATATTAATAAAAACTCAATCCTGGTGGAAACAGGGAGTTGGTGGAGGATGGGGGGGGGGGGGGTGATCATGTTTGCACACTCTCATCAGGATCCTAGTGGCCTTTAATTACATAAACTAATGACATGACTGGGAGAAGTGAGCCATGCATTCGTCTTTTCTCTCTGTTCTCATTCATAACTAATCTAAGACATCCATTTCTTTGCTGTACCTTGTGGACAATGTATTATTTATTTTGCTATTAAGGCATATGAAGGCATTGTATATGCTTAGGGGCTGGCTCTAAAAACTAAACCAAGATCTTTAATCTCAGGATGATTTAGTGAGAAAGACTGCATTTCCCTTTAATATGGGATGATGTTTCATTAAGTAGGACAAAAAGTAAGTGAGAGGTGTGATTAGAGAGATGTTCAAGTGTTTCATGTCAGAGTCAATGAGAAGATATCTTCCTGATCCGGCAGCGTTTCACAGCACTAATTTGTCTTGTATTTCAGATCATATCCTGGTACAACTCATGATCAATACTTACACATGCTGTGAATCATAGGAAGCGAGTTAAGTCGAAAGTTTGCCCTTAATCTTACAGAGAATTGGGACACCAATTTGGTTTAACACGCAAAACCGGGGGCTAAGTAGTAAGACAAGGGCTAAGGGGTGCAATTGGGATTGGCCCCTAGTCTATCAGACTGGGCTTTCTCTGGTCTCAAGGTGCTGTATACACCAAGGTGACCAGATTTCTGTATTGAAATCCAAGGACACCCAAAACATCAAGGGGGGTGGGGGGTACCAAGCAAAATGTGATTATTTCAGGCCCTCTATTTCTGGAGAACGGTGGGGGGGGCTTGGTCTGCATGATCACAGACAACATCTCAGTACTAGCAGCACACGCCCCCCATAAAAAAAACAAACAAACATAAAAACTGTTAAGGACAGCGCACAACCCTCATAACCGTTGTTTTAGTCTAGACGCAACATTTTTGTTGTCATTCATGAAACGCTTAAACCAGGGACATTTTACGGGGACAGTTTTAGCCGGGGACAGGCCATCCAATATGGAGACTGTCGCTGGAAATCGGGGGCTTTTGGTCACCTCATTAAACACCCCATGTCACATTCTCACCACATCCACATGCTGATGGCTCAAGGCCTATACAGGTTTTAGTGTCTTGTCCAAGGACACTTCAGCATGTGTGCAGGGGGACCTGCAGGACAGTGGGACACTGGGAGACAGTTGGCTCTAGCACTGAGCCACAGCGACCCCTTGAGTCCCTGTGGGACTCATTATCACTCTGCTGGACTTATCCTGTCAAAACACAAGTTTTGTTTTTTGTTTTTTTCTGAGGATGTTTAAACTATGACTTTGCTTTCATTTAACATCGAAATGTCAAATTCAATGAAATTCAAAATAAGGTATAGAGAAGGGTAGACACCAACCCCACAGCAGCAGACATTGGAACTGACTCAAAACAGCTAGTCTTCTTTCTGGCTGGCTGATTTTTCTTTTTTTAGGTCACAGAGGGGTATGACAGGAGCTTTAATCTGTCACCAAGATTATCCTGGCAGAAAGACTGAAAGCTGTCTTTGCTAAAGGGAGCTGAATTAACCTACCAGCAGCTTTAAGGCAAACTGCATCACAGGCTACATAGATAAGTATTGTCCTGTCATCACCATGAGGTTGCCAGGTAACTAGTAAAGACTGTGAAAAGTAACCTACCGATATTTGACAATTCCTCTAACCTGATGTTTTCTGGTTTACTCAACTCCCATACCCTCTTGCCAAAAGAGAGAGAGAAAAAACTGTGTCGTAAAGATAAGTCCTGACTTCTGTTTCCTTTGCAGCCTGATTGAAAAATGGCATCCAGGAAAGAGCATCAGTGAAAGTGGACAAAACCACAGCAGGGATGAATGCATCTGGTATGTTCTCCTACCAAGAGGAGGTGATGCTGGATAACTCCACCTGGTATCACTCCTACTATCACCACAACTACACCCTGTCCCCTACGCTCCTACCAGCCAAGACCAGCACCTCCAAACCTGCAGCATGTGAGCAGGTCCACATCGCTGTGGAGGTATGAACACTTTATTTACAACATTTGTTTAGTTTATGACAAAAATGAGAACACACTGAATATGTATTTTAGCCCTCTGCTGTTCTCTCTTTTGTTTACCTGAATCAAACCTGCTAAATGTTTCCAGATTTCTCACATCCTGGTACAGCTCAGGGGATCAAATGTTGACATTGAGCACGCAGACACACAGCGGCTGCAGTTACATGTGTACTAATTCAAAAGATAGCATGTCAGACATACATGGTTTATGTGTGAAACAGTGTGAACTCTAGGAAGTCTGTGTGGGTCTTGGAACAAAAACTATATCATTATCATCAAAAAACAACCACAGGGTCAGTCAAACAATAAGGAAAGGTTAAATATCGGGTGTATAAGGTCTCTTTTAGTCACTTGTGTGTCTTTATTTAAACCCAAAAGTAATTTGTTCAGTTTTCTACATGGTGACAGCTGCTGGTGGGTGGCGGTACACAGCTAAGACTCGAGTCCTACAACTGTTTGTCCAATTTCTAGACAAATCAAGTCAAAGTTTATTTCTTAGGCACATTTAAAAACAACTTCAGTTGACCAAAGTGCTGTACACGCGTACAATATAATCATGCATACACTTAATAATAATAAAAACAGTAATGGAATAAAAATAAACACAATATTAAAAGATATATATATATATATATATATATATATATATATATATATATATAAATATATAAATAAAAATAGAAACAATCAGAGTTTAAAAGTGCTCAGTAGACTGGGCAGCTCTAACCTTGTAATGTCAGCTGTTCCACAGTTTTGGTGTTGGTACTGAGAAGACTCTGTCGCCATGAGTGGAGAGCCTGGGACTGGGCACTGCCAGCAGCAGTACCCAGGCCTTTTTTATTAATTGCCCAAATAATTAATAAAAAAGAATAGATACTGTATACATCTTTTAACAAAGCTAGTGCAAAGAGACAAAGACATGACTAATGTGATCACATAGTTTCTTATTCATTCTAACCTCTCACCATGACAATCCAGGACTTCAGTTTTGCAGCTCAAATCAATCCATATCAATCTCACAAAGGTATTTATGAAATCCCTCTGCGCTGCACTTTTAGCCTCTGCCTAATTTTGGTGATTTTAGTGGTATTTCCTCTGATATGAAGTTAGACACAGCTTGTGGGTGTTACTTTTTACACAGCTTTGTAGTCATGAATTTTATTTAGAGGCTAGTAAAGTGTGAATGTATGAGCGAATGAATGATGTATCCAATGTAAAGCGCTTTGAGGGTCTCTGTTAAAGCGCTATATGAAATCTGATGCATTATTATTATTATTAAAGAGGCCCTACAGTAGCTCCTGTTAGCTGTATGTTGAGTATTGTTACATTATCTGCTGTTATAGTGTTACTAGCAGTTTTCGGAGTCGAGCCTTCATGAAAACTTTAAAACAGCTCCAGATTTCAGTAACTGCTGAGACTCAAATCCTGCTCGTACTTAACTTTGTTTACGAAGGAGTCATTTGTGAAGTGGAGAGCATTAGCAAGAGGCTAATGGGATGTGTAGCTCTTGTGGGTGAGTGAGTTCTCCCTTCAACATGGTCCTGATAGAAGGTGACAGCAGAGCCTGATGTCAAATTTGGATCAAGTCTCACAAAATTGAAATGAGCTGATGTGAAAAGCCAACAAAAATGGTCATGGATTAGGCTGACATCTCATTCACTGAAGTTTTGAATGGACATCCAACATTATCTACATCTGTCTAGAACCTGCGCTCAACCCAGGAGCAGCAAAGTCTGGTCTTGTTGTATTGATGGAGGCTTATCTAAAAAACATCTGAACTGAAAAGAACACACTGATGTCTGTCTTGAATATAGGCATCAAACCAAAAATCAGCTTTTGACTGTAACCAATATGATAGAGTTGATCCAGAAGACTTTAATGATCAGCCTTGCCAAAAAGCCTTGGTTAGACTGATAAAGACAGAACCAGTTAGTGTGCTTAAATAAAAGGCCGAAAACAGGTCATTTGTGAATTTAATGAGGGGGAGGACAAACTGCAAAGGTAAGATTTTAAACTGATTGATGAAGTGGGGTAATTGATTAAAAAGAAGTTCCTCAAAAATGTTTTCAGTGATACAGGTAGTGGAAATGTTCCTTTTTAAAAAAATAATCTTAACTGTATGCAGCCTTTTGCATCTTTAGCACTAAATGATTTGATTTTTCGGGTCTCTGCTTTTCTATTTTTCACTGTTAATCTTGACTGTGCTCTCTTCAGGTCTTTTTGATCCTGGGCATCATTTCCCTGCTGGAGAACATTCTGGTCATCACGGCCATTGTGAAGAACAAGAACCTCCACTCACCCATGTACTTCTTCGTCTGCAGGTAAGTGTTGAGTTACAAAACACAAGATAGAATAATTTATAAGGTCAAAGGTTTTCTACTTTCAGATTTATTTGTATTTAAGATGTCACTCCTCAGAGTTCTTAATGACTCAATGGGAGGTTTTTATACAACACTATACTGCAAAGTTTCGGGAGCAAGGCCACACCTCAACAGCTCCTCCTCAAACAGTCTTATAGATTCAAACTCTCTCCTCTCCTTTTCACTCTCACATTCCCCTCCTCCACCTTTTTCAGTTTCTTTCATCCTCCTACCCTATGGTGGGGCCCTTAAGGGGTTTCGTCATTCCCTGGAGCTACAGTGATTCCCTAATAAGCTTCACTAAACTAATGCAAGCACCAGAACATCAGACTCAGAATCACGATTCCAGTTTTAGTGAGGGGTCCATGCTGGTAACGTTGAAGTTGAGAGCATAGTTGCATGTTGCCGTTAGCATGTAACGCAAGGTGCAGCTGTGCCGAAGCTCAGTTTGACTCCAGGTGCAGCTGTAGAGTTTTATTCATTAAGAAATCGTATGGAAATTTAAATCGTGTTTTTCATTGCTGATTGAACCAAACAGAAAAAGGTATGGTGGCCGACAAGTCTATTGATCTTTATTAGGAGGAATGCACTGACAAAGCAAAAAGGCAGAGAAGCAATAACAGCTAAAGATAAAAGCAGCTAATATATTAGACTTAGAGCTCCACACTTGTGGGAGAGCTGAGTGACAGTGTTATTCACAAAGAAGAAGAAGATTTCACAGTGAACTTGTTCAGGTTAGAATGTGTCACATTTGATATCAGAGAATCATAAAATCAAGTCAACAGAAGATCCAGAACTAGATTCAGACACTGCTAACGCTGCAGAAAAGGTGGGGATGAGAAGTATTTTTTGAAAACTCTTATTTGATGCTTTCATTCTTGTTTGCAGCAGCTTTCTGCTTTTGTGTGTTTTTGCTTTGTATCACTTATGTATTTGCAGCACTTCTGCTGTGCTAGCAGATGTTTTGGCTTTTTGCTGTGCGTTTCTACTGTTGTATTTGTTATGGACTGTTGCGTATGTCATTTCAGAAGATTGTTTGGGCTGCTGCAGATCATAGGTCCTTGTCAGCCAACATAAAAATGAATTTAGTAATGTAATAAAAGCAAATAGGCCAAACGTTCTGGTGAGTCTGGAGCAAAAAAAGACAGATTTGTCTGGCTTTATTTTGTTTTGTCATTTGATTTGATAAAATCAGTCTCTGATGAATCTTTTTTCCCTGAACTGTTAGACGTAGCAACCAGTATTGAAATACACGTCATGAATTTCTTAACTCCACTTGAAAGAATCAATAAATGCACACAACATCTCAGCTTTGACATATACAGTAATTAGCTGTAAGTATTTTGGTCTGGAACATGCGCTTTAAAATATTCTTCCCACCAAAACAGGATACTCAGTTGATGCCAGCGGCATGTTCAGAGACAGAGTAGACATTCAGGTCAGAGTGAACACTTTGATGCTGCTCTGAATGATTTCTCTGAGAAGTATGAGTCTCTGCTGTAAGTGTTGAACAGACAGATGGGGTTACTAAAGGATAAGAGCAGAGCAGACTGAAAACAGTCTGAAAACATCTGAAAACATCTCTGACTCTGGGGAAATAGACTTTTTCATGGTTTTCTGTACCAATCAGCTCAGTATACAGCTGATCATGATTATAACTCATGTGCTTCTGTGTCATTAATAAAGTTGAATGAAGGAAATGAGCTTTGAAAACCTGCAAGTCCTCCTGATTAGAACAAGGTGGTTAAGCCTCTCCTGCTTGTTTTGTTGTTGCAGTCTGGCAGTAGCAGACATGCTGGTGAGTGTGTCCAATGCCTGGGAGACCATCATTATTTACCTCCTCAACAACAGGCAGCTGGTGGTGGAGGACCACTTCATCAGACAGATGGATAACGTCTTTGACTCCATGATCTGTATCTCAGTGGTTGCGTCGATGTGCAGCCTGCTGGCCATTGCTGTGGACAGGTAATGATGGGGGGAGGTGTGTGCGCTTATTGACACAAACACAATCAACCTATTAAATGAGACAATTTCACACAGCTCTACTCTATCATTAAATGAGAAGGTTCTCTGAAATTAGCTTGTGAAAATTATCCAATACAATAAATAACATAAGAGTGTTCAACAGCACAGGAGGTGTGATACAACTGTCAATTGTGTTATTTATTTATTTATTTATTTATTTAGTTAGTTAGTTAGTTAGTTAGTTAGTCCTAATGACCACACACTCAGGGAGAATATTCAATTACTATTATTTGAACTAATATGAATAACGTATCACTAAAGGATGTCTTAAAATGTGTCTAACTCTGGTTAAAAACTTTGGCAAAAACTCATAAGTCCAGTAACACTGAAGGCTGCTCTCTGCACCAGACTGGAGGGATCGTTCTAAATTAAACTTTAGTTGAATGATCTGAAGCTTGGTGTAGCTGGTGTTGTGGTTCTAATGGTGGTTATAATTACTGAACTGTAGCTTGGAGTCTGATAAAGAGTGCAGTAAAATACAGGAGAGATCAAGCCAGAGACAGGCTCGTGAAAAGTAGATGGATGGATCAGAGTCATGTCTGATCATCACCTCGTATTAAAACAATATAAAAACTTGGTTACTAACTTCATCTACCTCTCTAGCTCTAGTGGAGCCTTCTTTATTAAAACAAATTAAACAACATCTTCACTACTCTTCTTCACTGAATACTTACAGACATACAGTATGAGCCCAGTCCAGTTTTCTGCTACGCACCCAGCTCTAATGCAGAGTTTGTCTTCACATGCTGAAATGGCATGAGAAATCATATGAAATGCATTTTTACATGACCCTGAAGAATCATTCCATTTTAAAAAACAATCTGTTGTCATTACAAATGAAATCTAAAAGGAAAAGTACCCTTGTGTCTTTCTCTCGCTGAATGCAGTTTTGTTGCTCAGAGCTGTTTTTCTAATATATATCTGTGAACAGTTTATGAGTGACGCTGCCTGGTTCAGCCTGGTTGAAGTTAATTCACTTCAATGTGCCTGTGATTTTAATCCTAATGAAGATTGTGAAATCTTCATCATGATCTGATCATTTTGATATCAAGGTAAACAATTTCGGATGATAAAAGTGTGGCAAGATCATCTCATATTTGATGCTCTCAGGTGTATAAAAAATGATTTTCACTCATGTGAGAGTTGAACATGCAGTAAATTAAACTGTCACTATAGAAACAAGCTATCATACACTCTGCATCAGGAACATTCGTTGATGTCCCTCCAAGAAATGTTGGCTCAGAGATGAACCTCACTAAGCAGATAGACTGAACCTGGCACTGGTGAACCACACGTCTGCAGGCAGGAGCAAAACTAATCAGGACTGAGTCCGGTGAGAAAGCTCTCACTGCTAGGTAATGTGAACACAAACACATCGGCAGTCCTAGCACCACAATGAAGTAGAGACTAGGCATTAGATTTTTTTGGACAGGCCCAGATTTACAGAAAAGTTCATGGACATATATATGTATATATATATATATATATACACTCCTGATCAAAATCTTAAGACCAGTTAAAAAACTGCAAGAATTTATATTTAGCACTGTTGGACTTTAAGACGGTTCTTCGTAGAGCTTAAAAATGCAAAAAGAAGAAATGGGAACAAGAGACCAAAAGTTTTGAGCAGGTAATTTATTGAAAACAACAATTTAACTGAAATCGGCTGTTCATCAGCTGATCAAAAGTTTAAGACCACAGCCTTTAAAAACCCAAATCTTGCGAAAATTTGGATTCTGTGTCATTTCTTGTCAAGGGGTCACACTGTCAACATCTCTTGATGGCATAGGCAAAAAAACTCACTGCTTTTGAACGTGGTAGGATTGTTGAGCTGCATAAAAAGGCCTCTCACTACGTGCCATTGCTGCTGAGGTTGGACACAGTAAGACCGTTATTTTTCATTTCTTAAAAGATCCGGAGGGTTATGGAACAAAAAAATCAAGTGGTAGACCCCAAAAAATCTCACCAGCGCTGAGCCGGAGAATCCGCAGGTGTGTCCATCAAGATGCCGGACGATCCTCATCCCAAATTAAGGCCATTACAGGAGCTGACTGCAGCCCAATAACAATCAGAAGACATCTGACAAGGAAGGGCTTCAAAAACAAAAAACGTCTTCAAAGGCCACGTCTCCTTCAACGTCACAAAATTGCTCGTCTGGGCTTTGCGAGGGAGCACCAAACATGGGACCTTCAAAGTTTTATTCTCTGATGAGAAAAAATTTAACTTCGATGGTCCTGATGGCTTCCAACGCTACTGGCATGACAAGGAGATGCCACCTGAGATGTTTTCTACGTGGCACAGTGGAGGGGGCACCATCATGATCTGGGGTGCTTTCTCCTTCAATGGAACAGTGGAGCTCCAGGTTGTGCAGGGGCGTCAAACAGCAGCTGGCTATGTGGAGATGTTGCAGCGGGCATTCCTCATGACTGAGGGCCCTCGTCTGTGTGGCAATGACTGGGTTTTTCAGCAGGACAACGCTACAATTCACAAGGCCCGTCTGACCAAGAACTTTCTCCAGGAGAATAGCATCACTCTTTTGGACCATCCTGCATGTTCCCCTGATCTAAATCCGATTGAGAACATTTGGGGATGGATGGCAAGGGAGGTTTATAAAAATGGACATCAGTTCCAGACAGTGGATGCCCTCCGTGAAGCCATCTTTAGAACTTGGAGCAACATTCCCACTAGCCTTTTGGAAACACTTGTATCAAGCATGCCAAAACAAATGTTTGAGGTAATCAACAACAATGGTGGAGCTACTCATTACTGAGTCAGTTTTTGACACTTTAATTTCTGTTTTTGGAGGTGTTTAGGTTTTTTTGAGCTGTGGTCTTAAACTTTTGATCAGTTGATGAACAGCCTATTTCAGTTAAATTGTTGTTTTCAATAAATTACCTGCTCGAAACTTTTGGTCTCTTGTTCCCATTTCTCCTTTTTGCATTTTTAAGCTCTACGAAGAACCGTCTTAAAGTCCAACAGTGCTAAATATAAATTCTTGCAGTTTTTTAACTGGTCTTAAGATTTTGATCAGGAGTGTATATATATATATATATATAGATAGATAGATAGATAGATAGATAGATAGATAGATAGATACAGACAGACAGACAGACAGACAGACAGATAGATAGATTTTTTAACTTTTCTTATACATCAATAGGTTCACATTATAAGATGTCTGTAGCAAAAGGCTGCAAAAATTACAGACATCTCATACTAAAGATGTACATTCCGCCTGTTGATGATAAATTTGTAAGATGGTTCATCTATAAAGGCCAGACAGGTAAAAAAACATTTTGTACATGACAAGTTTTAGGCTACTATGCCGTCTGTGTCGTCTGTGTCACGTGACGTCACACCAACATCACGTGACACCTCTGATGAAGGCTGCAGAGGCAAAGTAGACAAAACTTGTCAGGTAGAAAACATTTTTTACCTTTCTGGCCTTTATAGATGAACCATCTTACAAAATTATCATCAACAGGCGGAATAAACCTCTTTAGTATAAGATGTCTGTAGTTTTTGGAAACATAAAATCAAAGAAAAATGTGCTTATTTACTGTAAACTTTTTTGAATCAGTCAAAATTAATTCATCATGACAGCATAATTACGCACCTTTAACTCACAGCTTTAGCCAATAGTACAGCCTATCATTTACAAGGATGTCAAAGTACACAAAAAATGACTCAGTCAGTAAATATTTAACTAGAAAGGTCCCAGTTATATATCTCCTGCAAAGTATCTCAGTGAGCAGCAAAAATGTCCTCGTTATTTTAGCACCCAGGTTCTTTAATTAGCAAGTGAACGTCCTCAGATGAGGTTTGGTCCACGCAGTGATAGGAAACTTTTGTCTTTTTTGTGACTTTTCTTCAACTCTTGAGGTTTTGTTTACTAACCAGCTTTCTAGGAACAGATTCAGGTTCTGGCTCAAAGCCTGTTCTGCAAAAACTGGAGCATGCTCAGAATGTTTAAGCTAGTTTCAGTTCAACTGAGTGACATACATGACAGAGAAAATCAATACCCAACCTCACTATCCTCACGAGGTATGTTAGTTTATGAGAAGATTGATTTCTAATGAATTAATGTGTTTGTATGTTTTTGAAAGTCCAGCAGCAGTTGGACTAGGGTAATAAATAAAAACATACTCCATGTCTGATATTCTACTTAGAGATAACACTGTGCAGGCAAGTGTGTTTTGCCTCTGGTCTGAATACAGTTTATGTCTTTCAGTCAAATGGAGTGTCACCACTTTAAATTCAAACAGAGAAGTGGGCTCTTCGCTGCCTTGGAAAATTGTCAGTTCTTTGTAAAACTGATAAGAACTGGAGGACACACACTGTTTAATGAGATGAAGACACTGTTGAATGTTAGAACTGGAGAAAAAAAATGCAGTTTTATTCTCACAGTGTATTTTTTTCACGTCCACTGCTGAATCTATACAGTTCTTTATTCACATCTCAGTTGCTGTAAGATCATAAGCTACATCCTTTGTTTGCTTGTGCAGGTACGTCACTATCTTCTACGCTCTGAGGTACCACAACATCATGACAGTGAAGAGAGCTGGCTGCATCATTGGAGGAATCTGGACCTTCTGCACAGGCTGTGGTATCGTCTTCATCATCTATTCAGACACCACCCCTGTCATCATCTGCTTGGTCTCCATGTTCTTTGCCATGCTGCTCATCATGGCCTCCCTCTACAGCCACATGTTCATGCTGGCTCGCTCCCACGTCAAACGCATTGCCGCCCTGCCCGGGTACAACTCCATCCATCAGCGCGCTAGCATGAAGGGGGCCATCACTCTTACCATTCTGCTGGGGATCTTCATAGTCTGCTGGGCCCCCTTCTTCCTCCACCTCATCCTGATGATCTCGTGTCCCAGGAACCTCTACTGCGTGTGCTTCATGTCGCACTTCAACATGTACCTCATCCTCATCATGTGCAACTCTGTGATCGACCCGCTCATCTATGCCTTCAGGAGTCAGGAGATGAGGAAGACTTTTAAGGAGATCATCTGCTGTTACAGCCTGAGAAATGCCTGCACCAACATCTGTGCTCTGACGGGTAAGTACTGAGAGGTGCAGAGGACCAACATCTGACTGAATCTGACTGAACATGAGAGGTATCATTCAAACACATGGTTGGAGAACTGGTCCATTGCACCTGTCTGCCAGTGCAGATTCAAATCAAGCACATTTTGGTCTGCTGTCTGGGATGAACTGAAAAGAGGACATTCACAGGATGTGTTCAACTACTGCTCTCCATTGTACCTAGCATGTACACATTGAATGGTTCATTAGTTACATCATGTGGACACAGCCAGGACAATTTCAATCATGATTTATAAGAAAGTGGGTCACAGAAAACTGTCTGCAGCTCATCTTTCACGGTAGCTGATGGTTCATTTTCCTTTATTTGACTCCAGAAGGCTGTCATTAACCCTTTTTTCCCAGTCATTTATACACTACAATCTGCACTTGTTTATGAGGTCATGCCCAGTGAAAATTAGGTTTATATTAGTAAATTTAAGCGTAATTTCACCTGAATATAATTGTTTTGGTGTTTAGAAAGTCTTTACAGGTGCAGATCAAAAATTAATCCATCCTGAAATAGTTCATTTTTTCCCATTATTTAACTCAAAAAGTTAAAGGGATATTCTGGCGTAAATTTAAGTCATGGTCAAACACACCTTAACACCGAGTTAGAGAGGTGAATGTTGCCAACTGCTTGCTTCTCTAGTTATACCAACTTTAGTAATGACCGCACGATAGCAATACACAGCAGTCTACGTCTCCATGCACAAACCTGAACCAAAGAGCCACTCTATAGCCACAAATAATGCTCAGAACAGCACCTAACTTCATCAACAGTACATATAGGGTCCCAGCCATAGCACTAGCCATCAAACATCTTTATAGTTTTGCCTGGTTTCTTTAGCAAAGAGACCAAACACAACTTACCCACTCTCCTCCAGCAGCTGCTTGTTTGTGGGGGAGCCCGGACGAGACGATCACCGACTAAAATAACCATGATTATGGTTACATAAACTAATTTATTCCCATTTGTTTTGTAAACAAAGCCCCAGTGTAACGCTAACACACCCTCTGTCAGAGTGCTGGAGGAGGGGACGGTCTTAGTGGCTCACTTCACCTGAGAGGAGAGGTCTGATGGAAATGGTTTATGTTTTGAGTTACTGTTGCTGCAGCTCAGAGCTACAAGGTTTATTCCCATAGTGAGGATTAAAACAAATGAAATTTCAGGATTAACTCTGGAAAACAAACATGAATAATATCATGATATCATTAATTATAGGATAAGGTTGTTGTGAAAAAGACGATGCAATGACAAGCTTTGGTGAATCTTATGTGGGCTGAGGAATGTGGATCATCGGATTAAGATAGATTTCTTTGCACAGCCCACTGCTCTACATAACAGATTTAGTTTCTAGCAAGATTGATGCCAAATCTTTTTTTTTTTTTTTTTTTTTGGACAAATGAGTGCAAATGTGCCAAAAACTTGTAAAACTGCAATTGAGGTGTTACTTTACAAGAAGCTAGGTGTTCCATATCTGAGTGCAGACAGCTGGCAACTGTTCTGATACTGTCCTGAAAATAGCATTAATGGTGGCAGGAGAGTGAAATGATTGGAAAATCCACTTTTGTCCTCTTAAGTTTATGTTTTTATTGTTGTATTTTTATGGTTTTAAATTATCAAATGTCCTTCTTTTCTGTCATACATAGCACAGCAGGTAGTGCTTTGTTGACATCCAGTCCCAGCTATCTCCCGAAGATGGGGCTCTGCCATGATTTAGACCAAAAGTGTTTTTTGAAGCAGACTATAGACAGATTTGTTTGGCTGTGTCTGATGCTTCTGTATCCAGCCTCAAGTGGACTCTTGAGGAACTGCAGTTTTTTGCATTTACACACTGGCTTCCTGTTTTAAGACTAGTGGTTGCCATTTGATCCAAACCAGCAAACCAGATAAGCTGAATGATTATCTGAAGTCAGTTTTATATGACATTGAGTCATCCTACAAAAATGAGCAGCAGATCAGAATATGCTTTTTCAGGTCATGTTTAGAGGAAGACAGAAATTGTGTTCAAGATAGAATTCAGGCTCTGACTGTCTTGTGTTAGTGTAACCAGTGTGAGGGCTGTATTAAGGTTGAACCGGAAATGCAAGCCAGACAGAGGAAAGGTTTAACAGGTTTATTGGTTTGCAGGGAGTGAGTGAGTCCAAAGTCCGAGGGAGATGAGGATGAATCCAGGTGTGGAAGAGTGCTGGGTGGCAAGCTGGTGAAAGGACCAGAGAGAAACACTGGAAAAAAGTAGAGGAGAATGAGGGTTAGACATGCAAATCCAAAAATAAAAATGTTTCACTAGAAGCACCAGTAAGCATTAAGAAGGCCATGTATCACAACGTGGGGTCAATAAAACTCTGGCGCTGAGGTGTGGGTCTGCACCAGTCTTGAAGACAGCATGATTGCAGAGTGGAGACAGGTTAGCGCACTCAGCCTCAGAAAGGGAGCAGCCTCTACAAAAGAGGTGAGAAGACAGCCCACAACCTGTCTTGTGGGAATCAGAACCAGAAAGAATGTGCAAAAACACCTCCAGACATTTCTCACACATGTTTGTTATCTATAAGCCTGCAGAGGAAGCTATTGAACTCTTGAATTGCATCAACTGCCAGAAGACAATTTTCTGCTGCTGCTGTACGTCTGCATCCCCCTGCTGTGTGACAATTATCGAGCACTTTCTTCAAACAATGCTCTGAAGCTTTATGGTTTCTGCTCTGACTTCAATTGACAGTCTTCTGTCTGTGCAATCCATGTTCTGTATCTGTATAATTATAGCTGCTTTCTTCTGCCTGTACCGCCTGCTAATCTCTACATGCTGCCTTTCTGCCCACGGCCTGTTTTCATCTACTGTATATGTACAGATGACAGAAGGTCACACTTTAACTATAATTAAAATGAATGTACAAACAGCTTCACTGTGCTCTCGGTCAGAGTGTTGGTGCCACGTACCTCCGAACTGAGAAGCTTGACTGAAACTTGGTCACAAAGTGCAACCATCTGCTAACACTGTTTATGAAAAAAATGTGATGCAGTATTTATCTGTGATTCTGGACACTTGTTTTCCAGTGTTTAGTATTAGTGATTTTTGGAGGAGAGTAACATTTATGTTATGTTCATCTGCAGACTGATCCATCAAACTTTAATGCATACACCAAAAGAGAGGCAGGATAATGGAGAAAAATGTTTTTCAGATCGGTGTATCTCTGTATTGTGCTGTTATCGCTCTTTGAAAGTTTCTTGTGAGTTTTTTCACTGTTGTGTAATCAAAAGAAGAACAATTCAACATTGTGATTTCAGATAAACACACTGAAACATAATGATCTCACTGTTAAGGTTTCATTCAAGGAGGAAAGAAAGGGATGGATCCATTTTTCTCTCTTTAAATTAGCCTCCAACATAAAACGTTAGTGCTGTTGCACTAAATGACTCATCTTTATTGCTGACCATCAAGTGCTTTGTTCCAACAGAAACAGAAGCTAACCCCACCTGCTCATTACCTGCCATGCATAAGTGCACTGAGATAATAGAAAGAGCAGTGGGTGTAAATTTCCTGTTTGTTAAAAGCAGAATGATGGCATCCAAAAAATATACATGTGAGCTTCAGCTGCCTGTGTTGCTTGAAATGGTTTGGTCCGTTTCTATGTGCCTGAATAAAAGCAAACAGTCAAATACTGAATGTTTCATTTGATTGTTTCCATCAGCACCACAGATACATTGTGATGACAGAGATGATGGGAAGCAGGTCATGATCCTTGCATAAAAACACCAATTTTCTTTGGAGTCAAATAGGTTTTGTGAAATGTGTGTCCTATTTGATTGTGGTGAAGATTGGCAATTTCAAGAGACTGACACTCAGGTTTGAATGAGATTGCTTTTGAATCCTTAGAGATAAGGAAGAGAGAGGAGGGTTAGATAGTTAGACAAGAAAGTTTCCATTGAAAAAACATACTCAGGGACTTCCAGAGGTCCATGCAAACATAAAAAAGAGTCACACACAGGCCTGTTTGCTTTGAAGGACAGAAATATTGTGCAGGCAGCAACCTTGAAGAGGCCAACACCAGGTGCAGATTTCACCTTAAGTAGTTCTTTGACCACAGGATGTGTGTTACAGCTGCTCCTAAAGCACTGCAATTTTATGTCCAAATAATTAATTCGATTTCATAAACAATAATATCTACATTCAGTTTAGTTAAAGAAACATTCATTTAAATATGCAATGTGAGACTAAACTAAACACTTAAACAGGTGCTGGATACTTCTCATAGATCACCAAATATATTGGGTAAGATTAGAAATAGAGATTGGTTATGCAATTTTTTTGTGTACGAGTCTTCACCAATTAAGTGAACTGTTACAACTGACTTTATTATTGTTTAAAAAAGATTTATAGTGAGCGAAATCATTAGATTCTCACTTGTTATTATTGATTGCGTGGTTTTGCATCAGACTCAAAACTATTTTTGATTGTACTGAAGCTCATCTGAAACAGCAAAAGCAAAGTTTGATCTCACAGATCCTCCTCAGGTATTGTCGGGTCAACAAAAGCACAGCGAGTGGTAAAAGGACACAAAGACATTCATTACAGGTGACCTGCATGACTGAGAGTATACCTCAAGTAGGACCACTCAGAAGTATGCATTCACTCCAGTACATTGGGACAAAGCGTGTCTTTATGAAAAGGGCAAAACCAGCAAGACACAACAGGTAGTGATGAAACATATGAAAAGCTGAGTCACACAAATATTCCAAGGACTATGCATGGCAGAAAGGGGAAAAAATTAATATAGTGTACACCAAGAGAAGAACAGACAAACTCTAAGAAGGAAGCACAGAAAAAGGAGGAGGAAGAGGGAGGTAAAACTAGCATGTAATGTATAAGCCTGTACAGGGGAGTGAGGGATTGACATTTGGAAATAATTACTTCCTTCCCATTGTTCACACTTAAGGTAACCAGCTGTATATAGAATGGACGCCGTCTGCCTCCTCGCTAGGTGAAGCCTCCTCGAGAACACCAACTTCTGGTGATGGGCTGCAGTATAGGTCATAAATCTTGCCTCCCCCAGCAATCCTAATGGAGTTATGAACAAACCTAAGAAATTGATTACACAAAATTTAAATTTTTCTCCCCCCGGTTGTGATGTTGACATGTAGTTACTGTCTCCACTCTGAACACAGCAGCATCTTCCTGAAGGTGCGTCTGAGCTCGGTGCTGCGGAAAGCGTAGATTGCTGGATCAATGAGGGCGTGGCTCATCATCAGCACCACATGCAGCTCGAAGAGCGATCGGTAACACTCACAGTACGGGTTTAAAGGGCACACCATGATGATGGTGAGGTGGAGGAAAAATGGAGCCCAACACACCACAAACGCCCCAAACAGGATGGTGAGAGTCAAGGCCCCTCTCATGCTCCCCCTCCACCACTGATGGCGGCACTTCCTCCCCTCAATGTTGGACGGCAGAGCAGCAATCTTTCTGGCATGGCTGCGTGCCAGCATGAACATGTAGACGTAGAGGAAGCAGATGATCGTCAAGGAAACAAAGAAGAAGACAACGAAGCATATCAGGATGACCTTGGAGGTGAAGAACTGGATCATGAGCACTGCACACACCCCACAGGTCGTCCAGATGACACTCAAGATGACCCCTGCATGCCACATTGTCATGATGTTGTGGTACTGCAGAGCGTGGAAGATGGTGATGTAACTGAAAGAGAAAACACAGAATTCACTGTCTCTTTGATTTATCTCTTGGGTCACACTTGGATGCTTAACTGCTGTGATCATCAGTGTCTCCAGAGCTAAAATCACATATAGTTTCATCTATTTGCCTATTTGGAGTGAGCCATTTCCAAATGCGTCACCATGAAATATGACACAGACAGCCTTCAGTCACAAGAGGTAATTAACAAATGCTAACATAATGCTTCTTGATTTCTATTGTATGAGGTAACAAAAACATACATGAATTTGTTATTACAATCAAAAGCCCAATCACACCTATCGCACTCACATTATTGATTACATACATGTGCCATCTAACAGTATTTTGAGTCATATAGACTTAAAATTGTCTGCCTGTCTGTTACAGATAACATTGTACATTTGTGAGGCAGAGTATGCAGAAACTACTGCCTTAATAAGCTGAGGATGTTTGAGCTAAAACGCGGGGAAAAGTTTCAACTTCCAACTTCAAATGATCCCCAGAGTCCCAGTGATGGGGACCTGATGCTTTGAATTGAAACACGTACAGATGATAATTGGTTATGGGGCCCACAATCCTCAGAGAAACAGTTCAACACAGCCGGCACAGCTGTAAACAGATCAAACAAATCAGTTTGTCTTGCCACCTACAGTTCCTCTGCCACATTCAGCAGAGCTCATTTTCTGTCTTATATAAAAGGAGAACATAGCTAAGCGTGTCATGATTTCTTTTAGATGAGAACTCCTGGGATTAGTTTGCTGGGTTGGAATAAATTTCACTCTGTTAGGCAGAAGTATTTTAAAATCATCTCTGTGTGCAAACCCATACCCTACATACATACCGGTCCACAGCGATAGCCATGAAGCTGAAAATGGAGCCCACAAATGACATACACAATAGGGAGTCCATCACATCATCCAGCTTTTTGGCAGGGTTGCTCTTCTTCTCCAGATGTCCTATTTCAGCAAGCATAATCATCAGGTTCTCACAGGTTTTGGAGAGGCTGGCGATGGTGTTGAAAGCTGCCAGGCTACAAATGAAGCAGTACATTGGGGAATGGAGGTTCCTGTTTTTAATTACGGCTATGACAACCAGCAGGTTTTCAACCAGACTCATCACACCCATGACATAGAAGATGGGGAAGGGGACCCTCACTTCGGGGCAGTCTGTTTGGTTGCTTGTAGAATTTATGGTTAGCCAATAGTGTGTCATACCGGGACTCATAGCTAGTTTGTTTTTAAATAATCAGATCTTGAGAAACTCTCAGTAAAGTAAATTCCAACTTCTGTCTTGGTAAAACAGAAATTAAGCTTATAGGCTGTTTGCATGAAACAGTCATCAAAAAATGGTCTATTAGCGTTGTGTTTTTGCAGGTCCTTTGCATGGAAAGCTTATTTTTGGTGGCTGAAAATTTAACTTTTGGTTCAGGAATGGAAAATCTAAAAAATGTGAGCTTTTATGCTGTTGTGTTAATTTGCATAATGCAGATGCAGTGAAAGCAGTGAAGTTATGATCCCAATAGCAAATGCATATGATGTTCTCAGCCAGGTTTGAAGTCAATGCTATGTTTCCCTAATGCTCAGACATGTTGGTTTTTCATTATGAAGTAATATCACCAACTACCGGCCTGGCATAAACTCTGCTGTTTTTGTGTAGCTATGTAAGCAAGCTGTTTTAAAATGTCTTCATTAAAAACTGAAAGGATAACTCTCCTTTTTTTAATAAGGTCTTGATTTGTCTGTCATCAAAGTGACGGCTGTGCCTTGATTTTTCAACCCTACTCCTTCTCTCTGTGCTACGTCAGGTAGTAAGTTCAGATAAGTTCAATCTAGTCTTTAAATAAGTTGTTGGTGGGTTTGGCTCTCTCCAGTCATTTAGTCACTTTCTCAGTCAGCCTGACTTGGGTGGGTCCTGAATTCCCTGACACAGGATAGTCTTGTTGTGCAGTAGCTTTTTATCTGTTTCTTACAGGTGAGGCCATCAGTCGATGTTATTTTCAAGGTTCTTTCTTCTTTGCAAATAGAGGGTCTTTGTTGAGGCTCATAAACTGTCACTTAATGCCGGACAGTTGCAGCTGTTAAATTGCCGGTCTTCTGAACTGTCAGTCCAGTCCCGTCTGCTGGTCTGGGTTTTGATGTAAGTCTTGCTTGAATGTATCTCCTAAGGACACAAGTAAGAACATAGTTATAATCCACCTGCTTCTGTTAAATTTGAGCCTCTCTCATAGCAAATCCCACTTGCTGAATATGTTGTGGCTTTTGTCCATTACAAATGTGGGTCCTCTTAGATGAGTAGTGCGACCTTTTGTTCAAGGTCTGACAGCTCATTCTGTGCTCGAACTTAGTAAAGGTAATTGCACTGCGATCCCCCTGTTATGAAACACATAAAAAAAAAAAAATCTGCTCATCAGTATGATCATTGAAACACGGTTTAAGTGGGCTTCAAACCTGAACTTTTCTGGGACTGTGGACTGAACAAAACTATAATCATTAAATCATGAACCCTCTGATCCCTCTACTCCTTTACGATCCAAAAGAAACCTCACGATATTATTTGGAAATGATCAAAGGTGCTCAATCAAATCCAAAACAAAAAACTTTCAGAAACTCTGTCACTTCTCATTTCTCATTGGGAGAATGGGAATTTCAGAGATATCAGTATTAGTTTAAAATAAACTAACCAATATTCTTAGAAATTGTTTAAATCAGGGGTTAAGTATTTAAAATTCATAGTTCTCCTGCACTGTACCACTTTTTTTTACAATGCTCAATCCACCCTGTGGTCCTCAGATAATCATAGCAGATGTGTTTATTCTTCTCTTGATCAACATATACATCACCAAAAAATATCAACAAAGAAAACATTGTGCAATAGATAATGAAACCAGTCAATCCCATTATATGTCTTGCTATGATACCAGCAGCTATTTCAGATTCAGGGCTCTATTTTCGTGTACGCAGGTGAGGCGACGGAGGGTGGTGGTGCCCACGCAGTTGTATTTTCGTCTGGCGGAGCCTGGCGTACAGCCAGTTTGGTATTTTCGTGGACTGAGGCGCACAGAGGCGAACCGAGATCCGCCAAGCTGGGCGTGGTGGCGTGGCAGGGGGAGGTGTTGACAGAATCAGCTGCTGCAGTGACATTTTCGTGCTCGCCAGTGGCGTGTAAAGTGCGCTGAAAGCTTGCCGATTCAAACCTGGTCAGCTTTCAGCGCAGGTGGAGTGCAGCTGGTCTAGTGGTATTTTGGTAGACAGGCGGCGTATCGGCATACATCACTGATGCCTCACAGGCAGGTTTCCACAGTGTCAGGTACATTTCAGTGCAATAAATAATCATCAACAACTACCAATCTGAGTCAGCACATACATTTAGATCTATATAGATATATTCTGATCTATATCTGATCTGATGAGCGCGTTTGGCACGTGTTTGGACACTCAACCTGACCGAATCAACACAGCTCAAACCGCATAAAATTAAATTAAATATCTAGTAAAAAACACACATGATGAAGTTAACAAGATATTTAATTTGTCTCCCTCCTTTTCTTTCTTCCTCTTCCTCTTATTTCTCGCACAGCTCGACCTGGATATGTCTCTGTGTCCTCTCCCCGTCCTGCTGCAGCTGCTGCAGCTGCTGCTGCGGCGGCTGAACAGATGATTTGTTTTAGTGATCAGATGAGTTATTTACTTTAAGCCGACATAGGGATATTATAATATTCAGTTTTGTGAGCCAAATTTATTTTATATGCCAACATCTATGAAAGAAAGCGCCAGGCCACGGAGCGTGATGCATCATTTACGCACAGATGGTTCCGATTTTAATGCCATTTTTGGAGTTTATGTTGTGATCTGTGTGCACAACCCACCTTTGTCACGTGAGGTTTGAATATATGCAACTTTATGTGAGTGTCTTTATTTGTGGAAATGGGTGTTTGTCTTACCAGTGGGTCCAACATTACACACACCAAATCCATCTGTGCTCATATGAGAGAGTGTGGACGCCCAGTGCAGCGCTTACAGTGACACTTGTTGAGGAGCTGCCTTGTGTCGCCATCTTGTGGCATTACTGTCTTCAGACATCTCTTGATCTCTTTGACTACTTCACGAAAGTGGTAATATGCCTCGCCTGTGGCGGATTTAAAAGCAAGGAGAGGAGCTTATGTGATTGGTGAAAACAGGTCTCGGCTGTGTTAAACCCACTCCACGCCCTCTCTCCTCTCCTCTCGCGAGGCACGAAAATAGAGCCCTCAGTGTCTAGCCAAAGGACATGCTGACACATGAACTGCAGGAGCCAATCAAGCTAATCTATCTGCTGACCTTTCTGTTGAGAGACCAGCAGCTGGACAGCTTAACGTCATTTGTCATCAAGAGCATCTTTGATGAAATCTAAAAAGACCTGACTTCTCCAGGTGGCTGAAGACTGGGCTTAAACATTTTAGTCTGTCCATCTCTTTCTTTCTTCATCTCCCTCCTCTCTAAGCCCAGTTCAGTCTCAGCATGTGTCTGCCTGTTTAAGGAAGTTCTTCCTTTCCACTGTAACTTGATAAATGCTGCAAAGAGTTTCACTCATGTGGTTGAAGATGGGATGGGGCAATATACATAGTTTATTGACTGAGTTTCAGTTTCACTCTGACAGTAATAACTTAAAGAGAAGCAAAGGGAGAAGAAAATATAAGTGGATTTCAGGCTCATCGAGGGCCCTCCACACCTGTGTCATAATCACAGTTGTGACCAAACAAATGCCCTGCATAAATTTAACAGTGATAAAGTTTGGACCTTTTTTTTCCTCTAATAGAAATGCACAGCATGGTGTCCCTGTGATTTGACTGTATTTTCATTAAAAAGGTGTCTTCCATGAGTTACAGCCCCATCCAGCTGTTCAGCACTAAGTGAAAAATATAAATTCATGTTTATTAAAATCACACAGAGCAATCCTGCTCTGACAGACAATGCTGTTAACAGAGGTGCTCCCTTTGTCTTCCTTGTTGTTCAGTCTCTCAGCAGTTTATTGATGATATAATGGCTGAGAGAGGAATTGTCGCCACTGGTGCCTTAAAAAGGTCAGGTAAACACTTCCTTGTATTTTGTCTTTCTCTTTGTGTGTGTGTGTGTGTGTGTGTGTGTGTGTGTGTGTGTGTGTGTGTGTGTGTGTGTGTGTGTGTGTGTGTGTGCGCCACTCTTGTTTGCCAAGGGGCAAAGGTGTTCATGAAAGATCAGTCGAAGCACAGTGGGGAGGGGGACTTGGGAAGAACCTGTTAGAGTGAGTCTGTGTCTTTCAGTGTGATATGGCAAAGTCTCCATCACCAAATATTACTACACACTGACGGTGCAGTTGAAACACAGCAGTGTGTATCTGGGTCAAACTTTCTTCAGTACATACAGTATATGGGTCCCAACCATAGTAACTAGCCATCAAACATCTTTTTAGCTTTGCCTGGTTTCTTTAGCAAAGAGACTGAACCCACTCTCCTCCAGCAGCCACTTGTTTGTGGGGGAGCCCTGACCAGTCAATCACAGAGTGCAGTGGAGTGTTTTGGCTCAAGGAAGAACATCTATAATTATTACTTCATGGAAATGCAATCAGAGTTCTTTTGTATCTTATATGTGCGTGATAGTTCTTCTGCCTTAGCATCTCTGCCTAATTGCATTTCCATGAAGTAATAATCATAAATTTACTTACTTGAGCTGTGGAACTCCGCTGCACTCGGTGATTGACTCATCAGGGCTCCTCCACAAACAAACGGCTGCTGGAGGAGAGTGGGTGAGTTGTGTTTGGTCTCTTTGCCAAAGAAACTAAAAAGCTAAAAAGATGTTTAATGCCTAGTACTGTGTGCTGGGACCCTATATGTACTGTTGATGAAGTTAGGTGCTGTTCTGAGCATTAGGAATATCCCTTTAAGCACATTCAGCCATGCATGCTGTTTTTCTTCTGCTCAGATGAACTGTGCACACATCCTACAGCCTACCCCCATCGAAAACATTTAAAACATGCTAACGAAGAAAAAGATAAGACATATCCCTTTATTATAAAGTAGTAATGTACTTACAATTTCTGGTACATTTTTAACATACCTGATGATACACCTGTTCGTTATAAATATTTTAATGCTACAGTTGTTCAAAAAAACAAAACTTCTCCCATGAACCTATTCAGTTTTTCCAAGGACCCTCTCAAATCACCACCTGTGGGTCCCTAGGACTCACTGTGTCCAAATACTTCCAACC